AACCTACTAATGGCCGATCAGTGGCTCTAGTCATAACATTGTAAACTTTCCATGTTTTTCGCACGTGTTCATGGATAGTCCGCAAACAATCTGGTCGTACCTTTTAAGTGAAGAATGCGGTCCGGTCTTACAGACTAAAAATGGATCAGGCTAGTGATACGGAGTTCATTAGGAAGCTAAAAATAGATTCTGTCAGCTTAACTTAGATGTAAGACCATTCATTAAACAACTCTAGATGAATTAAAAACACAACTATCGCAATTAAAATCATAAAGTAGCTGTAATTTCTTAGTATGATTAAGGTTCTGCCGTAGTTATACGTATACGAAAGTTTATATGGATGGATGGATGTATGTTTGAAGGTATCTCCAGAACAGCTTAAAGGATCTTGATGATATTTGACACAGATGTAGAAAATAGTATTGAAGGACATATGCTATTTATTAAGTTTTTTTTAACACCATACAGGTAGAGTCGCAGGCGACAACTAGTTTACATATTAAAATACGCAGACCTTTCTTCTCTACATGTAGTCATACATAAACTTCCATAACATTGTAATACTGGTCGGTTATAGCCTCTAAATAATTCTTTATAAGGCGATATATGACAAGCGCGCACTTTATGGTCCAACAGGAAGCACTTTACACATAATTCCGCCATTACCACGCGGTAAGGATGTGATAGTGTTGTGATCTTACAATTTCACAAAATATGTACATATTTATGCTGCTTTTTAGCATCAAATTACTACTTGAAATACTTTTCTACATTAATGGAGTACTTTCTTCTTACGGAATTTCGAAGAAGACTACTTATTTATCTTCATAGGTTCCCATAGTAGGACAGAAGGCGTCCACAGTACGCCGCCTTCTGGGGTTTGCGCTTGGTTTAGGGATAAAGCGAAGCCGAAGCGTTCATTACTCCTTTATTATAGCAACTTGATTTTGTTTGTAATGCTTTCAATATAATTCAAGTGTTTTCGTTCTTATTCCAGAGCGTCTCGAGCACGACGACGGCTGCCACATGGAGAAAAACGTGGACGATTACGTCAGCCTGACCACCGGATTGCGCAAGACAGACTTCTCTGACACGTTCTACGGCGGAGCGAGCAGGAAGACCAGCTCAGTCGACGACAAGTCCAACCGCGCCAGCCCCGAATGCATCATCAGCACAGAGAGCAACGACTCACCCAGCAAGAGCCTTAGACCTAACAGAGAAGTCTCCGAGTCACCGACAAAGACCATACGTAGCCGACAAGCGAGCAGAATCCCACACTCCCCAGTGAGAACCAAAACTCCCAGTCGTGGAAACACTCCAAGTCCAAAACACACAGCCAGCCCAGTTCAGACATCACCCAAACTGAAACCCAAGCTCCCACCCACAGCCAGAAACACTTGGAGCGGCAGGACCGCACCCACACAGACAAAAACCAAGACCAGACCCACAATTGGTGCCGACACATTCGATAACCCAAACAAATCCCCGAAAGCTAAGCCCAAAGTTGGACAAACGGAAGCTTTCAAGCGGAATTCCCCTTTAAGGGCAAGCAGTGCAACTTTACGTTCCCCACCACATCAAAAACAATTAAGCCCTTTATTGGAGCAGATCTTAAGGTCAGCAGAGACGGCAAAAGATGATGCCACCGTATTAGAAAAAATGAAAGAAATCATCAGAACATATTCTAAAGGCGAAGACTCTCTATCAAGGACGAGCTCAAAAGACTCCGATTATGCTGACTTCACATCCGCTTGGGTGATGTCTGATGGTAAATTGGAGAGGTCTACCAGCACAAGGCAGTTGGCTGCACCGAGGAAGGATCCCAGGACTGGAGCTTCAAGGATACCAGCTCCGGTGTCCATTGGCTGCAGAAGGTCTACTTCAACGTCGCAATTCCAATGACAGCTCTCGCTGGAGACCACGTCGAGTGACTCAAAGACTGAGCAAGTGTAAGTGTTTGTGAATGTGGACATTGGACCAAACATTGGCGCAAACATTTGGTATATTCGTAAAATCCAGATAAATTGGATTGTACGATTCCAAAGTTTTCTGTCAAATGAAGGCATTTTATATGTATTTATTATTAACAAATATCATATCTTTTACAGATAAATATTTAATATGTAAATTGTAGTGCTAACGTAGCATTAAATATAGAAGCGATAAGATTTTCGCGATTTGATTCGAATATCAAATTCCCATCTAGTGTTAGTACTAACATAAAATTAGTACTAATTATTCTATTTAGAATAGACAATTCGTACTAACCATTGGAAAATAGTACATCAATGACAGTTATTATATTATTTTTAATATTATCTTTGCAAGGATGAGAAAGAGACGATCTAGGAATGACATGACATGATGTGACATGACATGACATGACGTGCGTGACATGACATTTTGTAAAGGAAGATGGTGCTAAAAGAAATGATCAAGTTAAGTAGTCTAGTTATATTTAATTATTATTTTAGACATTTATCCCAATTTGATTTTTTTTATTTAATTTAACTTAACATTAAGTTCAATTACAAATGCGTCGAATACAAAAAAAAACAAAATTAAAACATTTTTTTTTAAATTGTAATTTTTTTGAATTAGTTGAGTTCATATGAGATTTTTTTTTAATTTGACAAATGAAAATGAAAAACATGTATTAATTTAGATTAAGTTTTGTAGCGAAATATTTTAAGTTACTTTAAAGTTATTTTTTAAGTTACTATTGCTACATCCCCGGACTTTTTCTAACATTTTCAACTAATACATTTCAGTTAGCTTTTTTGTTTTGTTAAATGCAATAAAATGCTATCACTTGAGCCGGGAATTTTGGCAATTTTTTCTACTTTTTTTTTATATTCAGAAATCTCATTGGTATTTAGGTTGTGAAGGGCATAGAGCTTATGAATGTGAAAAAGATTGGCTAAAATCAAATATCAGTTTGGATTTAATTTTTAATAGGATTTACTATTAAAAGTAAAAAAACAACATAATATTAATCTTGTCAGTTATAACGTTAAAGTAAATATAAGATAAATTTACCGATTTATCACATAAGTGTAAAAAATAAATTAAAAAATATTTTTTCACCAAAAAAATTCTTATTACCGTCCAGCTTAAAGGAAATCTAAAGGGCTGCTTCATTTGTTTTTATATATAATTTAACTAAACCGTTAAATTAACAGAAGAAGCGACTCTATTCCTTTATATGGTATCGATTTTGTATTCCGCTAATCTACAATTATTTCACGCAATATTGATCTTTATATCTATTTACGATATGTGTGTTAATTCACTGTAATAAATTAAGCTACATTATTAAGCTCAGAGGGGTTAGGCGAAATGCATTCGCTCCGAAGCAACTCCCATAAGGAACTTCAAAAATGTACAGAACTGACTACAACTTTTGATAAGTCATATGATTGTCAGTTCTATACACTTTTGAAGTTCGTTATGGAATCGCTTTGTAGCGAATGCATTTTGCCTAACACCGCTGTTCAATGTGTTTTTCTAACGTATTATTGTCTCTATTATTTCAAAGAGAATGAAAGAGATGTAACATTCGAAACCCACTTATACTAAGCATAATATTTTCTTTATAATTAATTGTAAAGCCAAATTGCATCTTATAACGCTCTACCCTGAGCTATCTATTTATTTATTATTAATAATTTATATTACACATAATAAATAAATAGAAAGTTTGATTTAATAAATGTTGATATTTTGAATATTATCTATAAAGATAATGTTTAAAAATTCAACAATCTAATTAAATTATTCAAACTTTCGTGAGACATTATATTATACTGATATATAAACACGGCTAAACACTCACGTATATACGTCCGGTCGCGGCACTGACAAGGGCCGCCTATGGGCTCGAAACTAGTCGGTGCCGTCACCGGACGAATATACGTGAGTGTTTAGCCGTGTTTATATATCAGTTTAATTTAATTCACTATTTATTATCGACAAATATTACACTAATAAAGATAAAAAAGAACAAACTAAGGCTAATAATAAAAACATAAAACACGGGATTCTTACTATAATTGAGCTGTTTGAGTTCCCTATATTTCGGCACACTTGCATGCCATGATCACGGTTAAGAATCCTGTTTCTTACAAATGTTATTATAATAAAAACTTAAAGTTCTATAAAGCTATTAATGATTGATTACCGTACTTAGAGACGTTAGTCCCTAATTAAAACCCTAAATGTGAAATAAATATGAGAAATCTACACTATGGGATCTCTTTAAACTCTGTATTCGGCAGTCTTAAGTTTTTTTTTGTTATAAGTGTTATATTTGTCGATTTAAGTTAGAGGCTAAGTGTAACTTAGTTAAGTGACAATTTCTTCATTGAAATAACGTTACCAGTGACTATGCCATAGAAATTGTTATGATTCACTCAATAAACTATTATGACAGATTCTTTTTTTATTTATGACTTTTTATTTTATTACTTACCAGTTGTTGTCCGCGACTTTGTACGCAAAGAATTTAAAAAAAATACTAGTCTATCTGTTCTTCTAGACTATGTTCCACATGTGTGCTTTTAACAAACATCCATCTCAAATTTATCATATATAAGTAAAATTTATTGTGTATAAGAGATAAAGTTCAGGATAAGTATTAGAGGAAGTTTGAAAGCGCCAGTGATGGAGAAAGGCAGAAGTTTGTATGGACATATTATGCGGAAAGATGAGATTGAATGAATCCTCATTCAATCTCAACATCATCAGCCATCCAGCTACAATGGTAAAGGAAGACTAAAGAAAGTATGGATGGCTTGTGTGAAAGAGAATACGCGTGGGAAGGGGCCTGATAGAAATTTATGGAAGAATAGGATATAATTTACTGACACTCCGTAGGGATAAGGCAAGCTTTTTCACTTAATTACATATGCTGAAAAAAATTGTTTAATATTCAATTTGAAGTATAATCTTTTACGTTGTGGCATAATTGTAATTACTTCTTGCAACTTAACAATAAAAAGTTTAAATTGAAATCTGTCAAATAAGTCAAAATATATAAATAAAAAATAATAATTTGTTGAAAAATTTTAAGATGTATATCTATTTAGAAGAATAATTTACAGGAAAAATAGTGTGTAAGTTAATTAATATAAAATTATTAGTAAAAAAAACTGAAAAAGTAATTCTTTTTTTATTTCAGGTTGGGAATGGATTTTGAATCGATTGCACTGGGATTGTTCTTTTATATAATATTCGTTGCATTGTGTTAGTATTAGATTTAAATATTAAGTATGATTTCGTATTATTTTGTAATATTTGATGGTGACCATAATTTTGAATTTTTTAGTAATTCTCTTTAACGAGATTTTTTGCAAAAGGGCTTGTATGAATAAAGCTAGGCGAGTTGCTAATGGAGAATATAACGAAAGTCTAACAAAAATACCTCCAAGAATAATGAAGTACACTTGCAAACCAATAACAAAACCACCAAAATGCAATCCAGGAAATAGAGAAGTCAGTTACACGATGGTTACATAGTTGTAGCAATTCGTCAATAGATGGCGTTGTTCATTTTGTTAGTCTTATTTTTTAATTTAAATGTAACTTTATAAATAAAAATGAAACGCAATTTTCCTTATTAATTATTTACTTAAAATTAATTAAGTCAAGTTTTATTAAAGCGTTTTTATAAATACAGTACTGTAATTTTATAATCAGACATTTTGTTGGTAACTTTTGTAAACGTTTATCTTACTTAACTAAACTTATTTTTAAATCACTTTCATCTTTGCACAAATTGTAAAAGAAATCATGCAACTCAAATACACCTAAATATTAATTTTTGATCACAGCTATTATTCCTCTGGGAAGATTTTATTCATTGGAACTTTGTCGAATATTTTATTTGTGACATCCTGAAATACTGAACTAAGACTCTTCTCATATGACTCCTTCAATTCGTTGAAAACTAGGTCGGAGTTTTGATTGAGGAATCTGAAATTTCAAAATAGATTTATGAAAGCGCCATCTAGCGGCTAATAGCAGTTAAGTTAAGTTTTAATTTTATAGTTCTTCTTAAAGCACCTAGATGGCGTGCTTAAAATTTGCTTACTTGTTCATGTTGTCTCCTAAGGCCTTGTCGCCGTTAAATAAATTGGAGAAATGAAGAATAACTCTCTCAGGAATGAATTTGACCTTGTAGTCTTTTATGTGCATGTACGTTTCACCGTCCTTTATTACAGGTTCACCGATCAAATCATGTTTTACAACCAAATTAACTAAAAAATAAAGAAAAACATGAAAACGGTTACTAAGATACTTATTATATTATATAATTTTATATACTGCATGAAAAAGAAAATGAACAATGCAACTCGCAAAGCGCCTGCAATATACACATGACACTACTTAGCAATAGATGGCGCTGATACCAATATTTACATTTAAAACGTATTATTGTAGGATTAAATTAGTTACGGGTTGGGCTAAGATGAAGTGTTGCTGATTCGCTTTACGTACCCATGGTAATGTTTGCAACTCCTTTACCCTGGATAGGCAGGACTAATATTCTTCCTTTCATCACATAATCCGCGATAAAATCCATCTTAGGTGTTATTGAATCTGTTCTCAGTCTGTAATGCTTGAGGTCTGCTCTGAAAAAGCAATTTCAAAACATATCAGTGCTATAAATCTACCTTTAAAATAGAAATATTCAAAGAACAATCATAAACCTTTGCTATAAAATTTCTTGCAGGCGCAACTCAAAATCATATAATTTCTTTTTATAGCTAAAGGCTGGTTATGAAAATGTATTCATGCCTTAAAATTTTACACCTAAATAGTTCTGCATCAAAACTTAATTAAATAATTTACTTGTAAGACGTAAGACGGGAGTCCGTAAGTCCGTGCAACTGTATGTTTCGGTAGACCTGGCTGATAACGACTGGTCCCGCGCCAGTCTCAATGTTCATGCCGGACACCAAAAGTGGTTCCAGCGGCGGCACTGATAGTGCTGGAATACCTGTAAACATAATTTGGACAACTTGCGGAAACAATTATTTGCTATGCAATACCATAAGGTATTTTTGTACTGTACGTATTTAGACCCAGATAATGGAAACCGAGATGTTAAACTTTTTACAATCACAAGAATATCTAACAATAATCCAGTATATCACAACTCTTATAGGTATTTTAGACCAACTGATAAACTGTATATATGCAAATACTCAAAAGGATTTTTAATATATAAACCGTGGGTTTCTGAGAATAATATCTCTGTTTTGTTAAAGATATGAATTGACGATATATCTAACACAGAGATTTTGATCTCAGGAAACCAAGTTTAATCTATTTTAAAGGTATTAACGATTCATTTGTTTAAAAAGTGTCTTAGGAACACAGTTAATCGCGTTTATTGGCATTTTAAATTAAATTTGGCTCGTGTACCTCTTTCTTTGGTACTACTTAAGTGTATGGTTACATATCGTACATACCTTTAGTCATTCTCCGGAGCGCATCTGGCACAGCTCCCTTGAGGCAGTCATTTAGCTTGGCGTCCTTCTGGCGACATCTGGTGAAATCTTCCGCTGCAACACATGACATGTTACTACGCAACAGAACTGAGGCAACTGAGTCATGTTGCAACGTCACATTATGACGATATAATAGCCCGACTTTCGTTGCGACATTGTTTTGGTGTTTATGGAAGACTTTAAGCTAAGCTTTCATAATGCCTACGAAATAGAGCTTATTTGTGTAATGCATAAATATTATTATGATAGCAAATTGATGGTTCCTGTATAAGAAAATCGTCGCAGGGAAGACTCAATGTTTTCATACTAGCTGTCGGCCATGACTTCGTCCACTAGGATTTAAGAAAATGATTTAATTAGCATATGTTCTTTCAGACTATGTTAGAACATATCTGAAAGAACACAGTTCTTTTTAGATATAGAAATTTATATCAAGTTTAAGCGTGACCCATGAAGCGGTCCTGGAGACAACTTCCAACAAACATCCATCAATCCATACATCCATCTAAACTTACGTATTTATAATATTAGTAAGTTGTATGTAGTAATTACTAATTCGTAAAATAAATGTAACATTTTTTTTTTCACAAGACAGAATACTAATATGTAGTCTTTGTTGTTAGCCGACATCATTTTTGAACAATTTGCTTTGTGACATTGCCTTACAGGTATACAATGCGTTTACCAAATCATCTAAAATTGGCATGACAGTTGGACAATGATCTAAAGAGGTCAGATATGAAGTTTCTATTGTGCCGTTTTTGTAACACATCGTGTAACACATATTAAAGTTGTATGAGTCATGTTTGTTTTGGTTAACACGTGGTTGAAAGTATTAGATGTCAACATGAGCGCCCCGGAGAGGGTTCGGCTGTCTATCTGTTTGTTATTAAATATTAAAACCCTATCTCTTGGGAATCTCTGACTTATAATATACAAGATTTTGCACGCGACTTCTCCGTGTAGAATTAAAATTAAACTTAATAAGTAGCCTATGTGTTCTTCCAGGCTATGTTCTATATTCATGCCAAATTTCAGCGTTAAGTTATATTCTAGCAAACATATAAACTTTAACATTTATAATATTAGTAAGATATAATTCTGATTTATTAATAGTCACCTTTTGCAAATATGTAAAAGTGATTACACTGAATTGCATCCGTATTGATATTACAAAATATATTTCTCTCTGTCCACTCATTACTCTGTGGCCGACCTTGTAACGGATTGTGTTGTCGACTGTACGTACAGTCAGCTACAAAATCTCGTAACACTTGTAATCGTTACATTACAATTACGAAAGTTACAGTAAAAAAGAACCGGTGATAGTAATCGCCATATACATTAGAATAGCTTATATTTATCATAATTTTTTTTATCGTAAATGAACATCTAACATAATGTGTCAAATGTAGGAGCTGATGTTTGAATTTGCAATCTGCAATTGCAAATGCGATACCTACCTTTAATCGACGGAAGAGGGGACTCAATAAGGTCACGCATCTCCTCCTCTCATCCCTTCCTTATAAGAAAAGGGTGGAAATGGAAATGGGAATAAAATGAGCCTTCCGGGACGGACGCTAATCAGACGAACGTCTGTCTTCTGTATGGTCGTTTCTGACACTTAGTAACGGTATTTCACGGTTGAATTTACCAATTGAAAATCTTGTAATTCGATGCTTTTTATTTAAGTTTCTTTGATACGTAAAAATAGGTAACATAATGATTCTCATGTATATTATTAGCAAAATAATCGCTTACGCTACGCTTGTACTTCGCCTTGTGCATTTATGTACTCATACCTTAAGATTGAATCGTACGTAATACAAGATCAATGACCATATCTTGATTTTGTATTAGAGTAGATTTGTAACTAAAGTTCAGTGTTTTTCAAAGTTTCTTTACGGAAGCTAAGAATCAACTTTCTAATGTAACTAGATATTTAAAGAGTTGTTACGTCGACGTATTTAGTTACAACTAGCAGTTATCCGTGACTTCATCCGGAAAATATATGGTAATAAATATAGCCCATGTCATCCGGGGATAGTCTAGCTTTCCAATAGTGAAAGTAATCATCAAATCGGTTCCATAGTCCCGGAGCCTATTCAATGAAAACAATCAATTATTTAAAATATAGTATGTTTTTATTGGATTGTAATTAAATTCTACTATGACGGCAGAGAAAATTAAAAAAAAAAGTAAACTTTATGACCTTAGTATATCTTATCTTACTTCTTAATAATAAATTGGAGGGATGGATGTTTGTTTGAAATTCGCCATAGATGTAGAACATAGTTTGAAAGAACACAAAGGTTCCTAATTAAATTTTTGTTTAATGTCGCGCAAACGGAGTCGCGACAGCTAGTTATATATATAAGAAAGTCGTGTTAGTTACACTATTTATAACTCAAGAACGGCTTTACCGATAAGGCTGAAAATTGGCGAGGAGGTAACTGAGAGCCAGAAGACGGACATAGGATACTATTTATTATTTTTTTTTATTTTTTATTCGAACTTAGGCCTTGAAGAGCTGCTTTTTATTTAACTTACTAATATTATAAATGCTAATGATTATAATAATAATGGATGTGATGTGGATGGAAGGATGGGTGGGCTACACTAATTAAGTTTTTCATATATCCACGCGTACGGAGTCGCAGGCGACAGCTAGTATTTAAAAAATGAATATCTTAAAATGTAACAATAAAAATAATTGTCATTGACCTATCCCAACACGATATAACTTGAGAGAGTTTGTTAACGTAATATTGAAAGTGAATTACGTAACTGAAGTGAAATTATACGCTACAAGTGTTAGATGTTAGTTTTAACCAGGAAATTAAATGATTCACTGTAAGAGTACACTTACATTGGCTAGAGTCGAATTAAAATACTTTCTACTACTTATAGGGTTCCGTACCTCATAGGAAAAAACGGAACCCTTATAGGATCACTTTGTTGTCCGTCCGTCTGTCTGCCAAGGCCCTTTTTCTCAAAACGCGTGAAGGTATCAAGCTAGAATTTATTTATCTACACATGTCTATCAACAGATGACCTCGTTACTATGGTAATTTGTGTAGGATGCTTTTATATTTTAAGGTTCCGTACGTCGAAAGGAATCTTATAGGATCACTTTGTTGTCCGTCCGTAGGTCTGTTTGTGATTTTTTTTATAACTTAACGTTTTTGTATTATTTGAAGACAAAAGACGAGAGTGGAAGAAACTGAACGAATTGTGACAAATTTTACAGAATGCATTTTGCTGTTCATGTGAATATAATTAGAAATAAATCATACATTGTTACGTTCAAAACTAATTTGATAAACATATTTTAAAATATTTACCACGAATTTACAGCATTTATATATATAAGAATGATTAAAAAGCATCGATAAAGAATGCTTTAGTACCGAAATAAGATGAAGTGATGCAACCGTCCCGTAATCCGAATGGGCCGGCGTTGCCACACGTGCGAAATAGCAAGGTCAGCTTGCATAAACATTGCAGCGCGGTCACGTGGCCGCAGCGCAACGCTGCTAGTGTGGACACGTCTTTATTAGGGACTAGTGTTCGCCCATTGGCCGAAATTTGACTTGAATTTTTTTATTAATATAGCATGCATTTCTTATTAACATGACCAGTGTCACATTAGCGGTCGCGTATTCCTTAAAAAGATGTACAAAGTTTTTGATTTATGTATAATATATAAAGATTTTTGAAGAAGAAAATTAAGTCATGAAAGTTAAGTTTAAGTTCAATTAACCATCAAACGACTTAATTTTAAGTAATAGCGAACAGTTCCTTTACATGAAATAAACATAATTAATTTGCGATGTCATAAGCTCATCGTATTTAACTTGATATTTGGAAAAATAATCAATCTGTAACACTGACCTCTATTAATATTGATGAGGTGGCTTTGGAATGACAGCTTATTTTATAACCAACTTAAAATCGCCTGTTAATGTTACTAAGAGTTACTACCTCTACTATTACTTCGAACCACCACCGCTACCGTCAACGTCACAATGGCGAAAATCAAGTAGGCACAAAAAACCCCAGCTATAGCCTATCCATGTAAAGAGGTCAATGTTCTAAAGATTTAAAAATAGATTTCAATAGAGCTCACAAATGTGTGAAACAAATGAAACTCGCCAAGACAAGTTCAGATAAATGTTTTCGTAAACCGTTTCCTAACTGCCAGTGTGGAGAAAGAGTTGAAAGTATCATCCATATCGCAATATGTTTATAAAATTGCTTACGAACGATTGTGTGAAATATTTCAGCATACTCTGATATATGCTATGAGCAATTTGCTGCTGTATTTTTGACTAACAAGAGGCAATGTTTACAAACGGTTTGATGATTAGGGTTGTCACCTACTATAAAAACAGCTTTTAAAGAGAGATGCGTCATTGGAGTTTTATCTTATATCTTTAAATTAGCAATTCTTGTATATATATAATTAGAATCTCGGAATCGGCTCCAACGATTTTCATAAAATTTAGTATATAGGTTTCGGGGCGATAAATCGATCTAGCTAGAAATCATTTTGGGAAATGTTTATTCGTGTTTTATCGATAATCAACTTAAACATAAACTTAACTTTTTCTATCGGTAAGATCGAAAAATGTTATTCATATAATCATCATTTTATCAGTAATTCGTACTTAAATATAATTTCCAAAAAACACAATTAAAAAAAAATACCAAGCATAGCTCGGTCATCCAGATTTCGCCGTTAAATTGATAAAAACCTTGTAATAATAAAATTACAGCTTTAAGAATACATTACAATGTAAAGGAATACAATAACGAATGATTAAGAAAAAATACAATATTTAGGTTTACTAGGGACAAACAATTAATACATAGATGTATATACAGTCCAACCTGATAAGCGAGAAACCTTTATAATCAAGAAAAATGTCTCTGCTCCTTGGACTGTCTTATCATCCAGGTTGGTCTGTATTTATGAATGGGTTAGAAGACAATTTTTGGGTCTAATAAACAAGCTATCAGCTCTTAGGTAGAAGTAAGATAAGAAATTTATCGCATTAAATTATTTGTAAAATCTTTATATATACGAGTATAATTCTTCTGTGAGTGTGTATGTCACCGAACTTCTCTCAAACGACTGGACCGATTATGATGAATTTTTGTGTGTGTTCAAGGGGATTTGGGAATGGTTTAGATTCACAATTTTCATGAAATATTAACTTCATATTAATTTATTCAAATTAAAGACGTGTAGACAGGACAACGTCTGTCGGGTCCGCTAGTATTCCTTTATATTTCAAATTACCACACGATTCTATAATGCAATGCTATTTAAACATTTGTAACACCACTGTGTATAATAAACTACGAGCGACTTTATGTTTTGTTGCAAGGCCATTCTGTAGCAACGAGCATTCTAAAGGAGTCCATTCATAAGCTTAAAATATTAAGAAATTTAACCGGTTTTGTTATTGCCGTTTGTAAATGTTGAAAAGACGCTGTGACAGTATTGTGTGCAAGCTTCTTAATTTACATATATGTCATAAAAGTTTATTAAGAGCAAATTCTTTAAAAAATATTAGTATATGTTTCATTACAGGGGTGGTCAAACAATCGTAATCGACTGGATTACACAATGCAATAAAAAGTAAAATGTAACTTAGCAGATGTTCAGACGCAATGCTCACACTAAAATACGTAAATAAGTATTAACTCTAATTGTTTAATATAATAAGTATATTTTAGTACTGAGCTATACTGGTTTTTTTTTGTATCATAAAGTGGCAAACGAGCGGGCGGCCACTTGAAATCGCTGAAATAGCGAAGTGACCGTTGCCCATAGATATACGCAATTGCATATTGATACACCTTGAATCGACGGGGGAGAGGATGCACAGAAAGAAAATATTTTCCCCTTCCATGCATCCCCTCTTCCGGAAAGTTCACTTCCACTTCCCATCCTTTCCCTATAAGGAAAAGGGTGGGAAGGACGCACACACAGACGAAACGCGGAATTTCTTCCACTTCACGCCTGTCTTCTATGTGGTCGTGGTATTTCACCGGGCAAGTCGTGCGAAAATGTTAAAGCGGGCTCTACCACTGTTTTATTTAAAATTACGAGACGATTCTGGTCCTAGTGTAATCAAGTTGACCACCCCTTTATACCAACTATGTAGATTTTTAATTTCAATTTTGATGCAAAAAAAAAGAACGAAATCAGGACCAGAAACCACTAAAAGGTGGTCTTTAGTGGTAAAGATAAAAACAATGGTTTCATAAAACGCTTCAATATTTTCCTGAATATGAACAGACGGATATATAATATGTATGATAAAGTAGCTGTAGACCGCAATAAACCGTAAGCGTAAACCGTAAAAAAAATATAATTAGTAGCCTATGTGTTCTTCCAGATTATGTTCTACACCTATGCCAAATTTCAGCGAGATCTATACAGCTGTTCCGGAGATACCTTTAAGCGAAGATCCATCTAAACATTCGCAATTATAATATTAGTAAGATAGAAGAGTAATGACCATTGTTTATTTCAATTAAGTGACGAATCAACTGTAGTATTACTTACTGATTCAAGGTCATATCTTGAAGCTATTGACACACAATGTAACCATTTATATTCTACACATGATATCTCCGTCTACAGAAAGATGAAACTTCATTACAATAAAACACAAAGAGAATGACTTGCAAATTACATATAAATATATAATTAATTGTCAACTACAATATTGGAAAACGTTAAAGAAAAACCTCTAGAGCTTCCGTTTACAAAGCGTGATAAGAATAAAAAAGTAATAACTTGACAGACTATACAGAGTGTTCGGAAAAGACGTGTACAACAATAACGACAGTTTCTTGGCCTAATTATAAAATGTGATCTTCTGTTTTGACAATGGTAAAAAGCAGCGTACTGTGAAAGGCATTAGGAAAGGCCTAGGTCCAGTAGTGGACAGATAAAGCGTGTTGATGATGATGAAACGCAACAACATCTCTTGCAAGAATTGGCTGACTCACCCTGTGCAATACCACACAGAAGACAAGCATCAAGTCGAAGCAATTCGGAGTTTTTCCTCATGAGTTACCGGCGAAAATTGGTTACTTATCTGAAGTTGATTTCAAAGGAGTAAAAATCTAGTTACGTAGTTCGGAAGTTATTGAACCAAAAATACTATTGCACGGTTAATAGGACTTCAGAAATTTGGCATTAGTTATAGATTCTACTCCTATATATGTTAATAAGAACGTCATGAAAAAATTACGTGATTTAGCAAAATTAAATTTCGCATTAAAATAATTAAAAACATAACAATTACGCTTTCTGCACACAGTTTTTATTAACTTTCACTTTCATTTTGTATACCATACCATTTTAGACTGCTATCGTTATAACTTCATAGTATGACTCTTATAACAAAATTATTTCGTAAGATATACGAGTAAATACGTTTCAAAACAAGGAAAAATGTTCAAAGTCGTTGAAGTCTTTACTATGCGAACGTTTGTTAAACCCACATTGTCGAAAAAAAATCTCGTTAACAAAAAAGCCAAACATGTTTTTTTTAAATCGATTTATTTAGAAGGAAAATTCTTTTCATTATTTGTCAATTATGTTATGTACTTATTTGTTTATTAACATGTCCTTACGAAATCATACATAATCATTTTAACCGTATATTTTTTATTCTACTTTTGTTTTCTAAAATAACTTTTACACTCAAATATCGAAATTTAAATATGGAATTATATCAAAAACAATTCCAAATCTATTGTCAACAAGGAATTAGCGACATTAAAAAAAACAGACAACTTTAAGAGATTTTAGAATCCCAAACTTGACCGTAATATCTACTATAGAAAAGAAACATTTGTATACTTGTTTACAAGAAAAACGGACGACATTAAATTGATCACATATTCGTTGTATTCGTAGCCCATCTGCTGAAGGTCAGCCGTTAGTTGTATGAACATTGAATTTTAAAGACAATGCACCGATTTACATTCCATAATGCGTCCACTTCGAGGACGTAGCTCTCTTCAATCGATTTAATGTTTATAATGCGACCTTTCGACTTCGCGGGTGGTATAACGAGATGTTTGTCCATGGTACAAGTTCAAATACTACCATTAAACTAATGGCCTAGTGTTTCGATCACCAATGGATTTATTATAGCGTATTATCTCCGAGTAGATATCAAACTGTATTCGGTTTGAATTTCCTCTTATTAATTATTAACTTACCGAAAAACAAAAACAGATACTATTTTACAACCGATAAATAAAATAAAGAAAACAATTTCACTCGCTAACAATTAAACGTGTTAAAAAATTAACCATTTTATAATCACGATTCACTTTCTTTGGTGTTCGAGAGAAATAATTTCAAATTACAAAAAAAGAAAAAATAATACTTTTCTAACCAGCCAGTAACTTATGTTCAACTGGCCAGTTGTATTAACATACAAAGAGTTTATATATCTTTATTGTCATAAAATAGTCCTATAACAGACTTTATGGTTCTAAGTACTTTGTTTAAAAGTTTTTTTTTATTCCAAACTCGCGCAATCCTACTGAATAATTCCCAACTTACACTCAGTACGGTAACATTACGATCACTTGTTACGTCTTCAGTCATGTAATAGTATTGCCTAGATGTTTTAAATTCTAATTGCGTAATAAAAATAGGATTAAAAATATTGCCGTGAAAGGCTAAGCTATTGGTCGGCTGAACATGATTTTTAGGTTAGAAAATACAATAATTAACAATCTAAAAATATTTTGTCCGTCGTTGTGCCGGTAAAAATAATTTTGGAATGAAAATTAAAAAGGATTAATTTAAAAAAGGAACAGATCTGGTTTCAAATACCGTTTAAAAATACATTGAAATAATCATTCTTCTTTATAAGAAAGAACTAGTGAAATTAAATACTTTACTAAGGTAAATCAAAACAAATATTGAATTTTTTACATATTAATTTCCGAGGGAATTGGATAGGTATTGGTAACGTAAAAAAAATATTTTGATAAGAAACTTTACAAGGATAGGGTAGAATGTGGACGCGTAAATAAAAAAAAATTAAAGGGAAACGTTAAGGTAATTATAAAAAATCTAAAGAGTTTGTAAAGAAAATTAACATAGTTTTTTTTCTGTACGAATCTAAAAATAAAAAAAAGTACTATAATAAACACACCTTGCAAATACTTAAGTAATAATATTTACGTTTATATCTACATACAGTAATAAAAAACTTACGTAATAAATTTTCTCCTATCGCCAATGTTGTTAGCGAAGCGAAAATAATAATTGTGTTCTTCATTTTTTTTATTTGTTTCACAGATAACTAACACACCGAAAACGTTCGGAAATAAAAGCGAAAGTGACAGTTAAGGCGTAATGGCGGCGTACAACTGAATTCGCGCGCGTTTTTCCCTCCTATTTATTTACTCTGCATTGATTGCAGAATCATAATATACGCAAACAAGCCCGTTCTTGTGACAGATGTGTTGATGACACTGTATTATTTTTATATAGGAAAGTTTATTTAAATTTTGACGAAGGTATTTTAAATTTTTTTATGAACTGATTTTATAAAGGGACAATTAATATGTTTAGCGATTACCTTCCATTTTAAAATCGTATTGGAATGAAGAATGATAATCATATAGTTTATACTTTTTATTTCATACTAGATTTCGGCCGCGACTCCGTCCGCGCGGCATTAAAAAAGAACTTAATAAGAAGCCTACGTGTTCTTACAAACTATGTAAAATTTCAAGAAGATCCATCCATCTCCATCCATCCATCCATCGAAACATTCGCATTTATAATATTAATAAGAATTAAGATAAAATATAATTGCATAAAATCAAGGATAGTAAACAATTTAAAATCTGAATAGTAGACAATTAAACACGGAACTAATATTTTCTAAGCCAAATATTTAAATAACATAGCATCACTAATGACTTGTGATTCGCCTTGTTTTTTATTAATCTAAAACTATTGACATTACGAATAAATTATCTTTTCCTTGACCTATGATACATAATTCACTTTATTGTAAACGACAAATATTAACAAAAAAAAAACATTTTACAAAGATACTCTTCCTATAAACACAAAAATTACACGTATTATTACGCCATTTATTATTTTTATAAGATGTTTCCTTTTTGAACAAAAAATATTTCATGCCAGTGTCAAAAGTTTAATTCTTGGAAACAGATATTTTTTTTAAATTCATGGTAAATGGTAATATTATGAGCTAGTTATATTGACAGTGAATACAAATGGTGCATAACGAGATTTTGAATTGCGTAAACTACGTCAATGGCTTACATACTACATAGAAAAAAAATAACCTCAGATTTGTACTGCCAACATGGTCATACAAACATTCTTGTTAAAATCTTTTAGTAGTACAAAAAAAAGTAATATACGCGCACACACACACACACATACTGCATAAATAAGAACCTATTTAAGACCTAGCTTAAGAGAACTATCTCCTGTAACACATCCACCTACCACCGGAGTCAGAATCCTAAGAAACTGTAATATTATGTGGATTACCAACAATTAATTAACTTGTTTATAATAAGAATAAGAGGGCTAAAGTCTTTTACTCTTAACAACTCAAGGATGGTTTTTTATAAAGGGATAGGATAGGAATGGAGGCAAAAATACTCCTTTCATGGGTCAAAACTAAGTATTTTGTCAAATTCACTGTAAATAAATTGTAGACAATTTGTATATTAGGTCATAAAAACAGGATTAAAATCATGCTTACTTTGTTTCTATGAAACTATATCAATCAAAGAAATACTAAAACAAAATGAAAAAGTTATTAAAAATAACTGAATTTATTGCCATAAAATCTTGAGCACATATTTAAAAAGACTATAAAAAAATTAAAAATAAGTATTTTTTTATTCATTGACCTACCTATTTTTTTAACTATTTAAATAACTATAACATCATCACTATCTATACAATCATATTTATAACTTTGAATATTTTCAAATTCTTTATAACCTTTTTGGTATCTTAACGCAAAAGAATTACTCGGTTGTGTACTATTGAACTTTGAATCTCCATCTGAACTTAATTTTATAAGTCCAAAATATAATATATCCGATTTTGAACTTTGAACTTCCATCCTTCTCTCTTTAATTATAAGAGGTTCTTTTACAGGAAGCATTAAAATCATATCTTGTAATTTATTATTTAATTTCACTTTAGCTTGTATTGTACCGTTACAAGATTGTGATACTTGATTCTCATCTAAAGGTAGTTTACATTCAACGCATCTAATATTATTTTGATAATCTGTGTTCAACGGTACTGGAAATAATCTTTCGTTCAAATAGAATCTATAGTAACATTTATGTTCCCCTAAAGTTGTTGTACTAGCTTTTGTTTTAATTCTAGATTTAGCTGAATGGCATTCAAAATAATTTCTTCTACGGAATTCATTTATTTCTTTGATATTATTTTGTTTTTCTAAATCGTAATATCCCATTTCTTCTGGTATGGTTTCTTGCTGTATTTTGTATAGAATATCCTTTGATGACTTTGGTTTAGACAATGTAACCTCAGATGTCTCTTTTATAGTACTTAATGATGGTTTTATTATGTTTTTAATTGGAGATGCATGAACTGATTCAGTTGATAGTGCAAAATTTTCATTTTTATAGTACTGTTCAACAGTTTTATAGCTTATTTTTGGTATGTTTCTGGATATTTCTATGTTTTGTGCGGATATGTGTGAACTATGAGGGCTTGTTGTGATAATATTTCCGTTTCTATGATATTTATACTCCGGTTTATCAATCACTTCATCTCCACATTTCTTACAAATGTCTGGTCTTGATTGAATTTTAGTTATATTCTTGTTGAATGTTTGATCAGATTTTGTTGTTTTTTTTGGCTTCGATAACTGCTTGTCTGGTTTGGTTAATATACCAGTAGAACAACTTTTCTTGTCGTTTTTGTGTTCATGATGAATAATGGCTTGTGATGGCACAAGTTTTCTTAATGTTTTCGGTCTATACACAAAAGGTTTACGTCTTACAGACTTAAACATATTGTATTGATCATCAAAATGTTCATTTAAATATGTTCTATTGTTCATTTTTACAAAATAAACGAATGTCACTTCACTCCACTGACTATCTGTCAAAGTTGTTATGTAAACGTTACCATGACAACAAAATGTACAATATTTAATCATAAGCTTCACATTTTTTTTGATTCATTGTAATTATTTTTTATTATTTAATAAGCTTTGTTGATTAATAAATAAATTTTATTAATTTAAATTTCCACAAAAGTTAAATTTGAAATTAATTTTGGTGCCATCTAATAAGAAAAAGTAAACGTCTGTGTTTAATTTCAGTATCAAGTATAGATGGCGTGGTAATAAAACTCAAATAAAATAAAATTAAGCTAATTTTTATACTAAACATTTTTCACAAAATTCTTTGCGATTTTATTAAAAAAAAATAAGGACAACTACTTAATACTTATAAGTTAAAAATCGTCAAAAATGATAAAATCAACAAAAACTTCATACTAAATTATTGTGTCGTGAGTAAGAAAGCGGTACTTCCACTTTCTTTCAGTGAAATTTAATAAGGTGGTTATGCCTTACTTATAAATTAATAATATATTGTTATCTTTTTAAAGGACACGAGGTTCCCTTTCAAGCGATGACCTGAACACGACCTCGTGTACACCTTAACCGTGCGGTTAAATCGCGGAAAATAGCTTATCCAGTTTAACACATTGTAACTGTAAAAATCTCAGCAAAAATGTTAACATCTGTCATTTTTTGAGTTCACAATGTTTTCTTTTGGACGTATAAGCAATCGATACCCACATTAGACTGTAGGTGTGAATGCTCTAACCTAAAATAATCATTGATATGTTGACCCATTGACCATGGATAGCCATGACCATGGATACACATTTTGACATATTAATACATTGACCATGAATAGCCATGACTATGGATACGTGTTGACATTTTGAACGTGGTATCAATGAAGGGTCTTTTGTGGGTTACAAAAGCGATATAGCGTACATTTCTAAGTAAAGTAAGGCGTATGTAAGAACATAATATTACGCGAAACAGCAATTTTCTAGCTTAGTAAGTATTATACTGGCAAGGATTAAGGCATTAGTATAACTTACAAGCTTACTTACAATTTGGCAACATTTGTAGTTGCTGGAAAACTTTTTTCATTTACGAACAAAGCGACCTCTATCTTTAAGTTTCCTCCGAGACTTAGAGCTTTGTATTAATACTATTTGCGGTGTAATAACGGCATTCAGAAAGGTCTGTGAGAATTACGCTTTGGCAAACAAAACTTTTGTAAGCATTGCCTACTAATTTTTTGAAACTTATGACAATAATAAATAGAATTATATTTATTAATAGCTGAAATAATTCAAATAAGCAGAGGAAACTCCTTATAGGATTTAAAGTAAACTACACAGATGACTACTTCTGGCTGGATCGTGAAGCGCCGATATTTAGAAAAAAAATGCAGCCACTATGATTTCTTATTTAGACCGTTAGTTGACGATCTACGCCTATATGGGCGAAATTGTAATAAAACCTTTTTGAAATTACGTTATTAATTATAGTATCAATGAATTGGCGCTATGACTGCATTTAATTGATAAACCGATCACGAAGGGATGCGCACGCGTTGAGGTCGCTTTTGTAGGGTGACCAGACATTATTAATTTGTTCGTATAATCCCTAAATATTAATTTTAAATATGTTAGAATAATATTCATTTATTACTTTTTATGTCAAATAAAATAATGTATCCCTTAATGCGGAGTATTAAGCTAGGTTAAGACAATTTAACGTCTATCTCTAAACAGAGATGCTACTATTTCTATGGCCGTTAAAAAAACAGTTTTTATAAGCCGCTATGACTTTCACTGTTTATTCAAACCAGTATATTAGTGTTATTAGTTTAATCAGCCACCCTATCGGTACCTCATTATTACATACGCTAATTCAACTACTAAAATATTGGCCGTTAAGAAATTATATTCTATTTTCAATCAGACTTTACTATATGATTTAAAAAAAAAACATCAAAAAGGTTGTACCTTTTGAGGTTGGGAGGAGGTAGTTGTATTAACTAATATCTTAGTTATAAGCACATTTAAAATCACTGCGAACTAAATATAGAAACGCAGCACAGAAAGAAGGAAAGAACATTCTAGAAATCTCTAGAAATGTCTAGAATCTCACGTATCTCTCAATCCTGCGTCCTGATATGTCTAATAATATACATATTAAAGAACATCCTTTAAAAATAGAAGAGTAATTAAATAAATATGATAAAGCATATAAAATAGCATTGTTAATTCAACTCTAAAATGTTCTATAGAAAGTTGAAATCTAAAACCAGTTGGCCTGCGATTAGTAATAGAAAGTAAAGAAATTGATATGGTTATAAGTTTTTATTTATTTAAACAATGTTAAGTAAGTAGTTAAACAAAAAATATGAGACAATCTCGCAAACAATGATTAAAAAGAAGACTCATAGATATTAAACAAGAAACAAAGATTAATTAAAATTATCAAAACCCGGAACCAATTTTGGTCAGAAAAGTGTAGCTTTTGAGGGAGCACAGTTATATAATAATTTGCTTAAAAACATCCGTGATATAAACACCATGTCATCATTTAAAAATAAATTAAAGAAATTTGTTAGTAAAATGTAATGTCAGACTACTGGTAAAATTTCAAATTATATGTTCTTGTAAAATTATTTCTCGTAAGTGAATTTCGTAAATTCTTGTAGGAATAAAGATCTTAAACCACAAGTAATGCTTTGTCGTTTGTTTTAATCTATAATATAAAAATGAATCGCAAAATGTGTTGGTAAGCGCACAACTCAACAACGACTGTACCAATTTGGCCAATACTTTTTTAAATGTTCGTTGAAGTTCAAAGATGGTTTTTACGGCGAGAAAAATTAAAATAATTGCCGGGAAGTTTTTTTTTTTCATTTTACGGGGACGGAATCGCGGGCGACAGCTGGCTATCACAACTGTGTGATATCAAAAGCTATTAAGTTAGAAATATTTGGAAACAATCTTGACTATTTCTTTGTTTTTCAACCTTATAATTAGCATAAAAGATAAAGATAAAAGAAAAAAGATGAAGATTTTGAGAATAATATTTTTAAAATTATTTTTATTTAAGAACTGTTTTATCTGTGGTATTTTTTATTAAATTTTTAGGATAGACGAGTAAATGGCCATTTGATTTTTTTATACAGTTAGCTAGCAGACCAAAAATATTAAAATAAGGATTTTAAAAACAGATTTATTTATTTCTTTGTAATTATATTCATACTAAGAAAATCTTTATCCGATGTCCTTGTTCGTAAGGGCCACCCTACACCTACGATCGGTAGGATGCGCGTGCGCACACCACTTGTCATCAGATGTGCGTGCGTATCACTCGCCTGTACCGACTTTGGCGATTCAAGAGGAATAAAAAGCGATTCGGCATAATTAAAAGTTTATTTCGAAAATGAGATTCATCGCTATCATCGCTTTCAGCTTACTGGTAAGAGAACTTTATTATTTAATTTTTATACTCATCACTGGCTCCAACTTTAGTTTATATCATTAACTAGCTGTCGCACACAACTCCGTGCGTGCGGAAATAAAAAAAACTTAATTAGTAGCCTATGTGTTCTTCCAGGATATGTTCTACATCTGTGCCAAAGTTCATAAAGATCCGTTGGACCGTTTCGAAGATACGTTGGAACAAATATCCATCTAAACTTTTGCATTTATATTAATATTATAATAAGATAAGATAGCGTAAGAGATGTAAGTTAAATCTTATAATTATCTTTTATCTTTTGTGTAACATACATTATTGTATTTATGTTATGTTGGTATATCTTAATATACTTACTTCCGGTTACAAATGTTATTAACATAACATCTTAGCGATAAGAAAGTCTTTGAAATGCTTATGAAAGGTCGATAAAATTTATTTCCTACATTTAGATCATACCATGGATATAAATCACTTTAGAATATTTTAGTAGTAAACAGTAGTCATTATCATCATCAGTTCACTATACGACTAGGCTTTAGTCAACCATGCTGGGTCTTTGAATTTCTTTGCAGATATGTACAGTTTGCACTACGATGTTTTCCTTCGCTGTATGAATGTCGGATAAATGTATAATACATATGTAAAAAAAACGAAAAACACATTGATACATAAGTGTATTCGAACCTAGGACTTACAGATTACAAGTACCTTTAATTACCGTGGATTAAACACTAAAAGACCCGTTTAAAATGTCGTCATTTCTGTTTTTTTTTCAATGATGAAAGATCGGGATGAAGATATATTTTATAAAGAGATTTAGTTTCTGAAACCCACGGTTAGTTATTTAGTGGGTGCCACCATCAGATTGTGCAGTTTATCATTTCATAATCTTACAAGCATTGCTGATTGAACATTGTAAATACATCGTAACTGTTCTTACAATCTGACATTAACATCAAGATTTGTATGGAAATTTATTTCATACTCTTTTTTTTTAAACAATTGTGAAACTTGCATTGTTGTCTTGCTTCGTTTTATTATAAACTTGCTGTCGCCCGCGACTCCGTCCGCGTGGATATATAAAAAAAACTTAATATATAGATAAGTTAAATAAAAAGCTGCTCTTCAAGGCATAAATACGAAAATAAATAATTATATCCTATGTCCGTCTCCTGGCTCTAAGGTACCTCCTCACCAATTTTCAACCATATCGTTCTTGAGTTATAAATAGTGTAACTAACACGACTTTCTTTTATATATATAGAAATATAGATTAAAAACATTTTCCGCTTTAGTAAAATAAAAAGGGCATATGATGGAGTTTAAAGGTTATTTTATGCGTAAAAACTTTCTCGTACGTGCCGCTAAGACAAATGTTTCTAGTTTCCTACAGTTAGTTTCACAGTTCTAGTTTAATTTGACTGGTTAGTTTAACTGATATTTGACAAGATGTTTAACAAGTAATTAGATTTAGAATAATATTGTCTATACTTAAACATCTTACTAATATTATAAATCCGTTTGGATGGAATGAAGTATGGACATTTATCAGAAGGTATCTCGGGAACGGCTCAACAGATCTTGATGAAATTTGCCACCAAACATAGTCTGGAAGAACACATAAGCTACTTATTAAGTTTTTCTACGTGGATGGGGTCGCGGACTACAGCTAGTAATGAAATAAGAACTTTCTTAAAATTGGTTCCCAAATGTAAACGAAGCAATCTTTTACAAAACCTAAACTTTAAATTCAACATCGATATTCGATCAAATTATTGTTTACTAGCTGTCGCCCGCGACTCCGTCCGCGTGGTTATATAAAAAAACTTAATTAATGTAGCCCACCCATCCATCCATCCATATCACATTCATCTAAACATTCTCATTTATAATATTAGTAAGTTAAAAAAAAGCAACTCGTCAAGGCATAAATTCGAAAAAAAAAAATTAAAAATTGTATCCTATGTCTCCTAGCTATAAGCTACCTCCTCACCAATTTTCAGATATATCTGTAAAGCGGTTCTTGAGTTATAAATAGTGTAACTAACACGACTTTCTTTTATATATATAGAAGATTTAAAGAACTGTTTTTTGTCGAAATAAATAAACAATTTTAAAACTTATGATGTAATTCAACACTTATAGTGAAATAATAATCAAAACATAACAGTTTCAATGGAATTAAGCATAGACAAAACTTTTGTTTCATCCAATTGTATTTGAAATATTAAATCATAGACAATAAACAAACAATAATAATGGCTCAATAAAAAAAGATGTTCCATTGACGATGGTTGCTTACTTGTAGCTTATATAGGTCGGGGTACGTGATTCGAATCTATAGATGTGGCATTGCCGCCAAGGACCTAGGTCGGTTAGGTTTGTTTATTTGGGTTACGATACAAATTTGTTTTTATGTAAGTTAAGTAATTTATCGTTATAAGATGATATATTTCATTGTTTTTTAAACGTAGTTAGACGACAAGACTCATATACATGCTTCCTTAAACAAGAAATAAATAAATAATATTTATAATAGGTTGCCATTGGCATAAAACTAGTACGAATGTGTTATCTGTACATTTTTCAACAAGAATGAAAGGTTGCTGATAAGTTTTTGTCGTAAAATTACTTTACTATCAACGTATAAACGCAGTTGAAATGTCGCGGCATAAGAATGTCTTGGAGTGGATCCCTATTGTCCAGCGTTGAGCAAATTTTCCCCTTGTCATAGAATAGAGAGTGATTCGCTTACGGTCAACCTCTAGTAATGAAGAGACCTTGTAAAGAAGATTTTTAATTTAAAAGCCTAACCTGTTATATAGAGGACGATCATTTATTTAATCTTTTTTTCTATATATCATAAGGTGGCAACCGTTGTCCATAGACATACGCAATTGCATACGAGTTGCCTCCTTTAATCGACGGAGGAGAGGATGCACAAAAAAAAAATATTTTCCCTTTCCATGCATCCTTTAATCCAGAAAGTCCACTTCCACTTCCCATCGTTTCCTTATAAGAAAAAGGGTAGGAAGGGAAAGAGGACTAAATTAGGCCTCCGGGACGAACACTCATCAGACGAAACGCGTAATTGCTTCCACTTCACGCCTGTCTTTTGTGTGGTCGTGGTATTTCACCGGGCGAGCCAGGCCAATTCGTGGGAAGATGTTAAAGCGGGCTCTACCACTGTTACCTATTACCTGTTGTACCTGTGTACCTGCAAATTGCAAGTCAAGTGCTTGACCCCTGAGCCACCGACGCTCCAAGAATTAATAGCCACAGTTAAATCTGGCATCTTTTAATACTTTCTTTGAATCATGGATCGAATAGTCTTAGTCCTTGGCGTCAATGTTAGACATACTGTATCCACATCACGTATCTCTCAGTAGTCGCATTCGATGTAAACAACCTATTGAATAACTTATAACATAGCGTGTGTACAGAATTTCTTATGTCATAATCATCTCCAGATATACAAGATGCTTTCCTTGATACAGGAAAGTGTAGTTAAATTGTTGAATAAATAGATGGATGTTTGTAAGTATGTCCAAAACGACGTAACGAATCTCAATGACATTTGGCATACATATAGAACATTGTCTGGAAGAACACAATAAAGTTTTTTTTTAATATCGCCAATCATTAATTGCATAACATCACATTTATTGTTTTAATTCGTGTACCTTAAAATAAAATATAATTTATCAAACTATTGTTTTTGAAATATTGCTCGTGATTTTTTCCAGGCGTTACAACAATGCAGCAGCAGATCACTGCCAGACGACGATTCAGTGGTGAGCGTGTACGCAAAAGATTCTTCAAGAGATAGCAGCAGGTCTTCAGTAGCGTATCTCATAGCTAGTGGTCTCGCGAGCAGAATCGCTTCTCCGTTTTCTAAGTAAGTGTAGCTAACGAATCATAAATTTTTCCAGTTTCTCTGACTGGTCTGACTGAAGGTTGGGTTGAGAGACCAGAGTATATGTATAAAACATATCGTCGTCCCTATCAATATCTTTGACACTACAAAGATAACAATATGTTTTAAACGGGGATTTTGGCCTCAGAAAGCCACGGTACAGAAGAAATTTACACTTTTGGGCAACGGCTTAATTTAAAAGAGTGATGTGTCATGCTATTATTTAACTCCAATTTATCATTAACAGTTTATTGAACTTCGGCAAGAATGTAACAACAACGACGAAGCGACCGTTTCATAGAATAGAACTCTTGGGCGATATGGAGGAAGCATCCAAATCTGACGTCATACCATTGAAGAATGAAATATCAAAAGACAGGGACATAGAAGAACTCTCAGAGGATAGTATCTTTAAGAAAAGTGGTAAAAAACCAGAGAAAATTTTAATGTTCTCTAACTTTCTACCGATGAAAGAGAAATTGGAATTAAACGGTACTATAAACGAAGTTGATGTTGATAATGAATTTAATTTAGAATTGGGTGATGATGATTATGTCATAGATGATATGGTTGTTAAATCAAAGGATGGTGGAATTGTTTATGTATTAGAAGTAATTGGTAGTATAATACAATTGCTTTGGGGCGGCTTTTTGGCGTTGTTCCAACCTTCATCGTCCTAGTTTATGGAATGAATTATTTATTTTATATATTAACAATCAAACCAAATAATTAATCTCGATTCATTTTCTGCTTGTCTAAGATATTTTTGATTTATATATTTAAAAGACGAGTGATGTAAGATTCGCAATTGTTGAACGACATTTTTCTGCTTTCCACGTGAAACACTGAAATATTTTCGTATACAGCTTATTGAGTTTGTTTACCAAAACATTTGTGCTGTATTTGTTTTAGAATAAATACGAAAGAACCTTCATGCAATCGTTTCCAATACTCTCGGGAGTTCAATTTGATCAGACAAAGTGAATAAGCTATTCTTTTTCAGAACAGATGTGGTGATAAATTTGTCCCGTGTCTGGATAACATGTTTTTTACATTAATTGGAACCTTTCTACGACCTTTCAGTTCAATTGTTTGTATTGAAAAAGGGAATTGAGATATCTTTAACCCTTGTAGCACAAGAACTTTGTTGCTCCGTGGTATTTGTGTAGATAATAAACCAATATAATGTTCTTTTTTCGAACAGTGTTACAAATTTATAATTATTTCTTTGTAAATAAATCTAGTATTTTAAGTAAGTCTTTAGTTTTATTTCCTTTTGATTTCTATATCTCATAAGTATACATGCACAAATCCAAATGGAAATAGTTTAAAATAAACAGACGCCTTCCGTTTGTTTAAAGCAATGTAGCTCTGTGAAAATTTGTTACTAAAACAACAGGCGCTTGTGTAATTCAAGCTATTAAGGAACAATACAATTGTTTTACAGTTTATATTGTACATCTTATTTACTAGTGAAATGTGTTTGTAAAAAATATTTTAGTTTACAGGCAATGCCTTTCTAAATAGAGCCAATTATGTCTTCAAAAGTAAAATATAGGGCTAAAAGAATGAATGTTCAAGTTTAATGTAAGAACTGCGAAGTAGTTCTGGTGGCACCACAGTAATGGGGTCACGCATATCATAACAATGGCGTAAAAACTTTGCTTACGACACTCCAGCTAAAAGCTAGGAACATTTAGGCGTTCCACGGAGTAAGATTTATAACCTAGACGTCTAGTCTACTTAGAATCTGATATAATTTCAGTGTTGTGTGTCGCGTTCCTTATTTGTTAAGGGCACAGTTTTTTTTTAAATAATTATTAAGATCTATTTTTAAAATTACATATGTTACACTATTATGTGTAATTATAAAATCTAGACTTTATTTATTGATAATGAGGTTGATATTTTCTTTTCTTATGACATGTCAAACGATATCGTTACCGTACGAATTCAGTGACATAAAATTTCAATATGTATGTCATTGTTAAAGCAGTTGTGAGAATACAGAATAATATAAACCATTCCCGCGGCTCCGGCACTCTCAGGCAAGAGGGCATGGCGTCGAGATTCCGTATCATTTGTTATAACGGCTAGCTATTACACCGTAGAGAATATTAAATAAATGTATTTTAATGGGAGCGTCGGTGGCTCAGTGGTCAAGCACTTGACTTGCAATCTGCAGGTCCTGGGTTCGAATCCCGCCATGTACCAATGTGTTTTTCGATTTCCGATTTACATATGTACATTTATCCGACGTTCTTACGGTGAAGGAAAACATCGTGATGCAACCTGCACATATCTGAGAAGAAATTCAAAGATATGTGTGAAGTCAACCAACCCGCATTTGGCCAGCGTGGTTGACTATGGCCTAATCATCCTAAGTTAGGATAGGCTCCGAGCCCCTCGGTGGGGACGTATAGTGAGCTGATGATGATGATGATTTTAATAGGACTAATAATATAAAAAAAAACTTATATTTCGATACAGGACCGCCTTAATACGGGAGATGTATAAAGGGTGTGAGACGCCCGAACGCCAAGCCGTTTTTTACGGCGAATGATTTCGCACCCGGGAACCTACATATATGGTTAAGATAGCCCTATCTCCATGATTACCTTTAAAGTTAAACTTTGGCCGAGACTGTTAATAGCCTTAAATTATAATGTAATTGTTTCCTTGTCTAGACACATTTTTAATAGAAAGTTTTATTATTATTGATTCCGAAAAAGAAATTAAAAAACGGTTAACAGCAGCAAACTTCACTTGGTTACTAAGAAAACTGTTATTCGAATTTAAATTCGTAACGGTGTAAGCGCCGGCCAAAGACGGATGCCATTCCTACAAAGGTTGATAAATAACATAGCTCACGAACACATTACGACTCTGAATGCTGACGTCTCATTTGTTACGTACTAACTACGCAATCTGGTTTCTGGTAACGAATTTCTTACTATAACCGCGAAATTATACTGCCTTGGCTGTTGTCTCTGTCTTTCCAAATAGAGTAACAAAGATAGCAATGTTCTTAATACAAATGTTACATTAGTGTTAACACACTGTAACATAAAGTACCATATACATTATACACCTCGTTAAGACTGAGAATAAGATGCGTATAATCTTTATGAACAGTTAAATCAAATGTTAAGGTGTGAACACATTCGTTGACTTGATATAATTAGCGTATTCGTTTTAATTTTCAAAAATAACATGCTGATGTATCGACAAGCTTATTTTTAATTATTATATTTCAACACACTAGCTATCGCCCGCGACTCCTTCTGCGCGTGATTAAAAATAGATGTTGGCCGATTCTCAGACCAACTCAATCGGTCAAGCCGTTTCGGAGGAGTATGGGAAATTTGTGACACGAGAATTTTATATAGTAGATATAATGGAGATGTGTTAGATATTGTTTTGTTCAGAGCGCCTAGCACGAATATTTGTGACACGCGTCAAATGTTTGTGAATTGTTGGTTTACTTAACGCCCATTAGGGACGCTGCACACATTAAAATACTAATGTCGATGAGGTTACGTAAACGTCCTCACAAATATTCTTGCTAGACCCCTCAGTGGTAGGCACTCGCCTGGAGAGTTCACTTTAAAATGGTAACATGAAATGTCTTAACAATTTAAAATAAATGAAGCCATTTTATAAAACTTTGTATATATTTAGTAACTTACATATTCTTAGCTTATAAATGCAGATACGAAATAAATGCTGAAATCACTAGTACTTATAAACTAAAGGTTGCAGATATCTGATCTCTGTTGACAATTTCGACTCGTCTTTCGCGAGCTCAGCTACCATTTCTTTAGCGCGGTTATTCGCATATTCATGTTCGCAATCGTGACGATCGACCATTTTAGATAGAGCCATCCTCAATTGTTCTCTAGCACCTCCACTAGATGACTCTACTAATGTCTTCATTACGTCAGGTGAGAAGCCCTGAAAGGAGATGACAATAAATAATAGTAAAAAGGTAGTATGTGTTTTGTGTGTATATGTTAGGAAGAAAATTTGACACTGTGCCGGAGTACTGTCGCAACACTAGCCTTACTAAAATGTCATTTGTGTCCCCTCACTAATCATTATGACACTTGACTTTGTAATGAAAGCGCGCCAGTCGCGCAAAAGGATTCTAACTAATATTGTCTAAAATATGTTACTACCTGTCCCCACGGCTCCGTCCGCGCGAAGTTAAAAAACTTAATTAATAGCCTATGTGCTCTTCCAGATTATGTTCTACATATATGCTAAATTTCTGCGAGATCAATGCAACCGTTTTGGAGATACCGCCTAACAAACAACCATTCATTTAAACTTTCGCATTTATAATATTAGTAAGATAACCTGCATCAAAATAAACGCTGCGGCTTCTTCTCTATTGAAATAGTTCTCATAACTTTAGTAATACTTCAAGCAAATGCTCTTATTACAAATACGGCGAGGGATTCCGTCAAATTACTTGTACAAAATATTTTTTTTAAAAGTTGTTTCTACGCAAAATGCAAACAAGCTTAAAATGATTATTTTAAATCAACTCTAACAGCAAACAGTCACATCATGGAAAAATTAATGATGAACCAAAATAGTCGTTGACTTTAACCATATTCAATTGACAGAAATAGGGTAATTGAGGAGGTCAATAATATTTCATGCTAGAAAAAAACCTCAATGTAATGTGTCAAAGGACGAAGTACTTATCTGCTGGATTTGTCAATGAAATAAAATATATGTAATAGAATCTTTTAGTACTTACACTGTAATCTGAAAGTCTCTGTCTCTTCGCTTCTCTACTCAAAAGATCATACAACAGTAACAGCCGTAGATTCGAAGACGACAGCTTTCCTTTAGGACTAGGTTCCGCTGGATTCGCTCTTAGACCTTCCCAGACATCAACCAAACGGTCATCGTGTGGATCGTATGCCATTCGAATCATTTCTCTTACATTCTTCGACAAAAACTGTAGATTATCCTCCGATATTTCGTCCAAATCAAATCCTTTAGAACGACTTGAAATCTTATCGAAGTCGGATTCAAAATGTGGAGGTAATAAGTGAGGAGCATCAGGCGTTGGTTCTAATAAAGGCTTAACTTCATCATGATGCGCAGACAATAATGGTTCTTCACTTCTTACGTTTTGGGGCTGGATTGGATTGTATTGTGGAAAGTCGAAAGTCATGACGCCGTATTGTTGGTTTTGTTGGGGATATTGCTGATTTTGGTTCAATGGATTATATTGTTGCGTGTAGAAGTTGCTTTGCTGTTTCTGTGTAACGTTGAACGGTTGATTTTGGAATGGAGAATTGTATTGTTGTTGAACTTGAGGTGGAAAATTGTACTGTTGAGGAATTTCATATTGTTGATTTTGCGTTGGAATATTATATTGTTGGTATTGCGATTGGGTATAAGGTTGCTGTTGGTCTTGTATCGGGTTAGTATATTGCTGGCTTCCTGGTTGATTATTGTATTGTTGTTGATTTTGCGTTGGAATATTATATTGTTGGTATTGCGATTGGGTATAAGGTTGCTGTTGGTCTTGTAATGGGGTAATATATTGTTGGCTTCCTGGTTGGTTATTGTATTGTTGTTGGACCTGTGGTGGAATATTGTATTGTTGATTCTGGGGTGGACTGTTATATTGTTGTTGGTTCTGTGGAGGAATATTGTTCTGTTGTTGACCTTGTAATGGTAAATTATACTGTTGCTGCTTCTGTGCTTTTATCCTCTCTGAGGGTTTGGGTGGTGCTGATGGAGCGTAGTATCCGGGCCGATGGAAGGGTGTAGTTATATCTCTGGAATATTTAATATAAATATTTAAATATGTACAAATAATAAAGCATTTTTTACAATCATTTACTTTAGTCTGATATATAAAGGATGTTTTGATGAAGATATGATATGAATATACATAATACTATAGCTATTTAGACGCTATACCGAATTATGTATAAAACAGAAAGATATTTTCGTTTGCAAGACGAAAATTTTAAGACAAGGTCAAAATTATTCAAACAGAATTTGTACGATGAAAATAAAATGGAATATAAAAAATCGTCTGTATTTTTTTTTTAGAAGACGTTGATTTTCCTTATTTTGTTTCACAGTTCGAATTTTATTTCGTACGGAAAAACACATCGATATTACTCCAGTCAATTGAATAATAATCTGTTGAAATCGTAAAGCCTTTTGAAGATCTTCGATTCTAAATATAGCTGACATTTTCTGAGCAATCTATAATCCTTTGAATCGAAGTGAAGCAGCGTCTCTATCGCAATAAATGTTTGAATAGAAGAGAAGTTTAAAGCTATTTTCCATTGTCAAAATACATGTCTTTGTTTCTCTGAAAGAAAGTGAGAGAGATGGGAATAAGGACTGTAAATTACTTAATATTTCTTATGCTTGTAATTTAACATATGTGCTGGTTGTCTTGATACCTAAACAAGAGAATAATAGTAATAATATGGATAGTGGCCGTAATTTACCTGTTCATAAAAACAAAAGAAAACAAGGTAAATTATTATACAAATAAAAATCATTAGCCAATCGAGTGTTAATAAAATAAAAATGTAAGCCGGCTCACCTTTTATAACCTAAAACAAAACAAAAAGCAATGGACCTGTTTGTGAAGAACAAAAAATCCCCGGAGTAGACTTTGAAATGTCACAATATGGTTTTTAATGTATTGTAGATTCGCTATTGTGTTAAATAAATGACCAACTAAATAATATCATCGCTTAATTAACGATTATATTGTTTATTGTGCCATCAAGTCATAACCATTTATATCATTCGAATATTGGTTAAAAATATGGATAGAATATAGGTTGGTTGGAAAATATGGGATCTAGTTCTCTAACACCAATAACCTTGTTAATAGAACAACAAAGTCCGTAGAGAGGACCTTCACCTCTTTTTGTCAGACATCCACCACCTTTCAAATCGAGGTTTCAATGAGTCAAAGTAATCAGATGTGACGTACAAAGGTTTGGGCGTGGTCGGCTTCGTTGTCGGCTTAGGCTTAGGCGGCTTCGTCGTTGTCTCATCTTTAACTTCAAATGCCATCTGGTCAGTGAGATGAGCTATCACCTGCATCGCTACTGGTAAATAAGAATCCGATAGTTGGACATTCTGTTTCGCTGCCTCCAACTGGAAAAGATTTTTTTTATTTTAATTTTATTTCCTATCCTTGACTGTTCTTTATTAAACTCTCGTTACAATTTTCGCAATTTATCCGGTGTCGGCCCCGACTAGAATTGAGTCCATCGGGGAATATTCTACAGGGTGTGTGGAGCTGGTATTATTTCGCGTTCGTGGCCCGTATCTGAATATTGAGTCCCTCGTAACTAGTCGGTGCCGACATCAGATAATTTGCGTGAATATTATTTGTTCGTTATTCACACTATAGGAATTATAACTTAACACATATCACAAGTTTTCATGGTATTGTGTAATGAAATTTCACAGAAATGGATAGGAAATAACCTCGACAGTTCGTTATCTCGAATGATTTCTTAATACCCGCTTAGTGTATGTAAAACAGAACATGACATGGTGATAGCGATTTGTTATTCATTTTGGGGGAAACTCAATGGTTGTTATACTCGTAAAGTGAAAGCACGAGGCTGTATGAATATTCATTAGTAGACAGGAATTGATTTTGCACGGACCGACAGGTCTAATGAAAATTCTGTACACATGTTATTAAGTCGAGTTTTCGGTTAATTATTTTCGTATACGACAATGAAAAGGTCTTTGTGTATTAAATGAGTCTATAAATATTTAATTTTTTTTAAAAAAAGAATGATACTTATTGACTCAAGTCCAAAAAATTTTTTTTTATGTCTTCTGAATTATAATTCTGGCAGTAAACAGGTTAATTATATTTTTAATTAGTTGTAGTTTGTTATTAAAAAAGATAATTATGTTAGTTATAAATTACAGACTATATTTTAGTTTATAAATAGAATAATATATTTAGAAAACAATTTGTAACTTACACTTCCAAAATAAAATGTCTGTAAGCACAAAGTTGCGATGACTAATCGCCCAATCATTGTTGTGATCTGAAATGTTAATAAAAAGACAAATATTATCATACTAATGAAATAAATACGACGATTAATGCGATTTTTTTATCACAAGGTGGCAAACGAGCGAGTGGCCACATGAAATCGCTGAAATAGCGAAGTGACCGTTGCCCATAGACATACACAATTTTATATGCGTTGCCTATATATGCCTCCGGAGGAGAGGATGCTCAGAAAGAAAATATTTTCCCTTTCCATGCATCCTCTCATCCGGAAAGTCCACTTCCACTTCCCATCCTTTCCTCATAAGAAAAAGGGTGGGAAGGGAAAGAGGACTAATTTTGGCCTACTAATGTTTGGATAGGATACATGGATGTTTGTTTGAAAGTATCTGTAGAACGTCTGCATAGTTCTTGTTAAAATTTGCCATAGATGTAGAACATAGTCCAGAACACATAGGCTACTAATTGATTTATTTTAATTAGCTATTAAGTAATATAATGAACGTAGTTATTTTTCTTGATTATGTGTAGTTGTGGCAGCCACATATATAATTTATTTAATTTAACTTTTCGTTATCTTAAGTAATATAAAAAATAACATTTTTTACATTTACTTAAGTTATATTAAAGTACAATTTTTTTAAAAACCTCTTGGGTTTGAATGTAATTTAAGAGGTGAAATTTTTCTTCTTGAAATATATAGTAAGACTAGCGGACCCGACAGACGTTGTCCTGTCTACACGTCTTTAATTTGAATAAATTAATATGAAGTTAATATTTGATGAAAATTGTGAATCTAAATCATTCCCAGATCCCCTTGAACACACACAAAAAATTTCATCAAAATCGGTCCAGTCGTTTGAGAGAAGTTCAGTGACATACACACGCACAGAAGAATTATATATATAAAGATGAGTAAGTGAAAAACTATTAAGTAGAAATATACTACATTTTTAATTCAATAATGAAGTATTTAGAAAAAGCTTTGGCATTTTCTCGCGGGAAAAACCTGTTTTAAAATGTATATATTATTTTATAAGAAATTTTTATAACTTTACTAGCTGTAGCCCGCGACTCCGTCAGCGCGGAATTAAAAACAAACTTAATAAGTAGTCTATGTATTCTTCAAGACTATGTTCTACATTTATGACAAATTTTAGCGAGATTCATGCAGCCGTTCCGGAGATCCAACAAACAATCGAATTTAATATTAGTAAGAAGTAAGATTTTGTTGTAGATATAATTATATAACGCATAAAACATATAGAAATATGTATAAACAATTTAGTATGACACAGTCTGAGTTATGGAGATAATTGTTTAATTGGCAAGATTGCATAAGATTTGATTTTTAATGGTTTCGCTTTTTAAAGGCTTGATGAAACACCGAAACTAAAGAAAAGTATGTTTCGTTACTTCCTGTATCTTTAATATAATCGAAAAGAACATTTACACATAAACATTTTTTTTATAATTTATTTAAAAATGCTTTTTTCGAGTTTATAAGTTGAATTATATTTTTTTCATTTTTTTTCTAGCCTTTTGCGTTGGTAGATGACAAAATAAGATTTATTCTGGCCAGTAAAAAACATGCCCTATATTAAATGAGGAAAAAAGTAAAAACTTTCATATAGACGATACGATTACAAAGGGTGTTAATTTTACAAAAATGCTAAAAGAATGACTTGTCTCACTAATGATTGTTTTTCTCTTTCTAAAGTAATATTAACTGATGAATAAATGAATATTATTTGCACATGTTTTTGCGATGTTCTTGACACCGCGTCATCGTGGGTAACGGTAATAAATTCTCCACGCGGAAATAAATTCAATAGCTTTAAGTAGCGAGAATTATAAAAACATTTTTCAACGTACTCGAAATGATAAGAATGCCATTTACTTATTTAAAAAAAAGCGATAGAATTTTATCCGATGTATTTTGTTTTTTTAACAACTAACGTTTAATCAAGATCTAGGTCAAACATCTCAAGTATTAAGACAAGCGTCAAAACTGCATACTGTCATCATGACCAAAGATTATTTATCAGGTACTATAAACAAACCATAAAGAAATATCATAACCTATTCCAGAGTAAAAAAAATAACACTGGTATTGTATAAAAAACAATGGAATTACAATTAAGAAATCTATGTCGTTTTCAAACAGTAACACGGGTCTATAAATCTAAATGGAATGCAATTTTAGGTTCAGATATCAACTATCGTGGCTCGTTAATTCTAACCACGTTCCGGGAGTAGGGCGAACACGACCCTATCTCGACATGGTCTATAAATTGGCCTAGCTGTTGCTAACGGTGCTTTGGAGGAATAGTCTTATCTATTCTAGACTTGTTTAAGTATTTGTACTTCGGAATACCGTTAGATCTCCCACTAATAACACTGTGATATTTGTTTTAATAGGACATCCCTATTTGAAATGTTTTTTCGTAATTTAATATAAAATATTGAAGAAAGTGCATATATTCTGTTCCTAAATAGATGCATGGTAATCTTTTTCCTTTTTTTTCTAAAAAAAGTTACGTCAAGTTGCTTTTTAACACGTAACTTAAAAGTAAGTTCGAAACTTTTGCCTTGATAGAGTCCGAACACTCTTAAACTATTATTATTTTATTTTTAATGTCACATTTATGTGTTTTTAATGTGCTTGTAAATTTATTTTATTTTTTACGTACTTATTGCAAGTATTATGGTCACCTTACAAATTAAGGTTCACAAGTTTTGCGATGTTGATCAACCACTTTATAGACCTGTTTGATTCTTGTTAGTCTATTGCGGTCATGTCCTATTGGATTACAGTCATCCTTGTTATATTCTTGTAATTAACTTCGATACACCCTGTGTAATGTTTGAATAAGTATCCAAATTAAAAAAAAAACTTTTTTACGAAGATTTTGTCCGATTTTACTGCCAGATTTATGCAGTTAAATTAACTTTAACACCGGCAACATCGTAGAAATTTTGAATGTACTGGTTAATCTTATCCATAGGAAAGTTAATAAGTTCAAAATATATCCACTTTTCTGTGCAACCTCAGTTATCTTACTATAATAAAAGCGAATGTTTAGATGGATGGATGTTTGAAGATATCTCCAGAACGGCTGAACGGATTTCGATGAAGTTTGGCATACATATAGGACATAGTCTGGAAAAACACATAGGTTGCTAATTATGTTTTTTTTTCATTCTGCGCGGACGGAGTCGCGGGTGATCGCTAATTCTTTAAAAGCTTAACATGTCCGTTGGTATGAATAATAAGCTGATTAAGAAATTTGTTGTATATAACATGTATTTTACCCAAAAATCCAGTTTCAGGTAAAAGAAATCATCGACAAGGGTCTCAACTTTATTTATTAATACATTAACCCAACCCAAATATAAAGATAAAACATAATTTACATCGATAATATTTAAGATTTTATAGTCCATTTGTTACCATGGAAATTCTAATGTCTTTATTTTTAACTTTTATCTCTTCATGTTTTAAGACCTAATCCTCGTCATTGAGGTAAACTAAAAATAACACATCGAATTTTCTTACAGTGTTTGTCAAATGATGAAGAATATTTCCTATAAAAGATTAATATAATTCATAATTAATTTATCTCTGGCCACACGGAATTAAAAAAAAACTTAGTAGCCTATGTCTTCTTCCGGACTATGTTCTACATGTATACCAAATTTCAGTGAGATCTATGCAATCGTTCTGGAGATACCTTGTAACGTACATCCATCCATCCTTCCACCCAAACATTTGCATTTATAATATTAGTAAGATTAGTAGGAAGTAATATAGGTAACATAGTGTTGGATTACTGTGTACTGTGTGAACTGTGATTAGATGGTGCTATAGAAAACTATAGGAAGTCGCTGAAATTCATCACATATACAGAACATAGCTTGGAGGAACACATAGGCTACTATTTTTTTTAATTCTCTAAATATAAATGCAAAGGCATCTAAATTAATTTTTTATGTTGCTGAATTTACGTGGCCAAACCTCAAATTGAATCTAATATTCCAAAATCTACTTTTTATTATAAAAATCCTGATTCTAAATCATAAACGGTTGCTCTTAAATCAAGCAAATTGACATCTTAATCATTTACGTATGAGACTTTTGGGTCAACAAACTTTGTGATAAATGTTTTTAAAACGCTACCAAAACAACGGAATCCTGCAAATTTTGTCACATCTAATTATAGAGGTGATCTGAGGACAGTGTGGCCTTTGTTTTTTTATATTGATACTGGCCATTTAATCGTCGAATTAAAAAAAGAAAAAAATTCTAATTTATGTAACAAAAGCAAATGGTTAAACAATGATTGCTGCTCATTTTCCAACGAGCATTTGCAAATGTTTATAAAATGTTTTTCTTTGGCGTTTCTTTTTTGTTTTATGTCAATTAACATTTTATACTCGATGCTAAGTTAGAAAAATGTTTTTTCATTATACCCTTTTGAAATACAGACGTTGCTTTTATCCAAAAAGTATTTATATATTTACTAGCTGTCGACCGCAACGATCCGCGCGAATAAAAACTTAATAAGTAGTCTATGTGTTCTTCCAAACTATACTCAACATCTATGCCAAATTTCAGAGAGATCCACGTAAGCTTTAACCCATGCATACATACATTCAAACATTCGTATTTATATTATTAGTTAAATTAATTTTAATAAGCATAGCATTTTATATTTTTATAATATTTAATTTATGCAATGTAGCTACCAAACCTAATAATCGATCTTATTTAGTCGAAAGATGTGGTTTTTCGATTGCTATTGCGGACCTCAGATAAGTTAGAGTTGAATTAAATGGATTAAAAGTGTTATTATTCCTTGAATAATAATAAATTGTGCGAGATACATTATAGAGTTCGGCCATTATTGCGAAATACTGATTAGATTGGATCATTATTGTTAATATGGGAATACATTTTTGTTGTTATTGTTTTAACTCTATTGTTTGTTTAAACGATTGTAATTCTAAAAGTAATAATTACTTCATCAAAAAATATGATTTTAGAACAAACAAAAAGTGATTTGAATATTAAATACAGCAATTAATTTACGTATTAATAACGGTAAAATGAAAAAGGAGTTTGATATAGCATAGTTTTATTAATATGAAAACGGTATCAAAAAAACTGGATGTCATACAGAAACTGATAAGTGTATGATAATTTTAAATAGCCTTTAATAATTAAAAAAATATCTGTTTAATTGTGAAATTTTGTCTATGATTTACTAGCTGTCGCACACGACGCCATCCGCGCGGAATTAATAAATATTTGTGGCCAATGTGTTTTACATCTATGCCAAATTTCAGTGAGATCTATGCAGCCGTTTTAGATATACCTTTTAATAAACATCCATACATCCATTCAAATATTGACATTTATAATATTAGTAAGAAGTTGTTGTTCATGTATTACAAATAAAGTATATATTAGAGTTGTTTTTTCTACAATAAAGAATGTGTTCTTGTATTCACTTTTTAATTACTACAAATTTTTGTTGAAATATTCAATTATAAAGGTGAAAAATATTTTTATTATATAGTTAAGTTTCTATTTACATTCATGATTTTACACTAAATTAAATAAATAAGTAAATTATATATGAACACACAAAAAAAACTTGAATATCGGCAAATATCGATCTATTTTATCGATATCAAATTTAACTACATTTCGCGAATAGAACATCCCTAATGCTATAGATAAAATACCACTCATCGTATTATACGAAAAAACAAGAAAAAATATGACTCGTTTCTAACTTACCCTGTCGTACGCCGCGGATAAAGACCCCGCAGTCACACGGGTGTCCGTTAGCGCTTGCGCAGTAATACTGCCTTTGCGCAGCATCCCTACTGGCTAGAGGATACTGACCCCTCCTTAGTATAAAGGAAATATCTAGAGCTGTTCGCAAACCGGTCTTATATTAGATACTAGTTTTATTTTACAGTTTTGTTTTTATTTGTTTTTGTTATCCTTATGAATTATTTAAATTTCAAAACTTGTTTTGGTTATTTTAATAATTATAGTGTCACTTTTAGACTTATGATAGATTAATTATAGTTATTCATATATTATTAACAGTATTAACAGCATAATATATTTCAATCTATCTAGAGTACGTAAACCTGGTTTACCGACCTTACCTAAGAGAGATAAGGACAGGTATATGATGAATACACGTAGATAGAGTGATAGAGTGTTTCAAAAATTATTTAAAATAAATAAATTTTTGCATAGTTGTATCATCTCTATGGAATTCCTCAACCAGGACAAACACTGTTTGCGGTTGTTGACCACTGTAAAACATACACAGGTAAAATTTAGCCGACCCGGCCGCAGAATACTAAATTGACCTGTACTTGACTTATAAAAATGAGAGTAGGCGTATTAAAAACAAAAGTTTGATTTATCCGAGTACTAAAGGCTAATTATAAAAATACTTAAAACGAATAAACGAGGTAAATTTATGGTCACACCATAAATTTAAAGGAATTTTTATAATAAAACTAGCTGTCGCTCGCGACTCCGTTCGTCGGAATTAAAATAAAAACATAGATGTAGCCTATGTGTTTTTCCAGACTATGTTCTATATGTATGCCAAATTTGATCGATATCCGTCCATCCGTTCTGGAGATATCTTCAAAAAAACATCCATCTATCTAAACATTCGCATTTATAATATGTTTTTTTTTGCTTTAGAATGTCTCTATTATGTATTAAGTACAAATTATTTTTTTATAATCAAATTTATATAAATGTTAAATATAATAAAATGTAGTTTAAATTATTCCTAAAAGTTTTTAAATTTTTCACAATTTTTTTATTATTAATATTATTATATATATATACTTTGTTAACTTGTTAATTTGATTTCGTTAGATCTTTCATTAATATTTTCAAGAAGGCTTTTAATGAAGAAGTATACGCAATTCCAATATGTACTTATTAAAGACCCGATCTCCTTTAATTAAGTCTGACGTAAAGAAGCCTTCGAGTCTTTTTGAATTTAAATAGACCGGATACGAATGAATTTGATTTAGTTTAAGAGTAAACTAAAATTTCCTTTATTAAAGTTACTTCCAATATTATTTAAAAACAACTATAAAATTCTAAAGTAAGCTTTAATTTTGATATAATTTTTAATTAAAAGAAGTGGTAACTATTAAAATGTTCAAGGCGTTTGTAAAGTGTCGTGAAGTTTTTTAGAAGAAATAAGTTGGCTACATGAACTCTGGATAGCATTGAACAGGCGTATGTCCAACAGTGGGCAGACACTGACTGCTGATAAAAAAATATTATATTAACCCTTATTTCAACGAATTTTTTGTAGCAAAAAACTGTTTTTTTTTAGTAAAGTTATACTTACGTAATTTTCTCTATAGTTCAGTAGATTTTTTTTAATTAGTTGTTCGTCACACTGGACACCATCGAATTAAGGGTTAAGATTACACTAAGTTAGGAATGACTAGGCTATAGTCAAAGCTGGCCCTGGCTGGTAAATGTACATATGTAAATCGAAATTAGGGTAGGCTTTGCGCACATCAGTGGTGACGTATGAGCCGATGATGTTATTAAGATTTGACTGGTACGAAATACCATGAAGAATAACCCTGCAGTATTACAGGTTCTTATTCTGATAACACGAAGTCAATAACCGGGTTAATTCGGAAACCAGTGCTACGAGAGACAATACGGGCGGCGTGTGATGGCGTATTAAACGTGATGAGGATCATATTAAGCGTTTAGAAATGTGTGAAAACATGTCTCAAGTTGCAGGCATCTACGTAAAATGGCGTAATATGCGAGAAATCGTATAAACGGGGTTCTACTGTATTTAAAATATTGGCAGATTAAAAGTAATAAAACTCAAATAATATATAACAAAATATATTTATTAAAGCTTATTCATAATCACTAAGTAAATAAGTATCATCGTGTACAAATCTATTTTCTGTCTTAGAATTTTCACTACGAAAATGTGATTCGTCAAAATTATCTGTTCGAAATACGTGTTTATCATCGCAATCGTGTTTATTAAATAGCCTTGATATTTTATTATAAATACCTTTTGATATACCATAAATATAGTCTTTTATACCTAATTTATTATGCATATGATGTTCTCCCCAATTCGAAGGCCCATTTGGCACATCATCGTATTCTCCTTGCACGTGTAGTATGCTGAAAGAGTTCTTCTTCCCTTTGACATCTTCATTGGAATTATTATTCAATTCGTTATTACTTTCAGAATTAGTTTCTGGTTTATCTGTGGGTTTTTGAACGGTCGGGAAACTTGCATTGTTTAAAGGTCTAGGTGTAGAATAGTTGGTAAAAATTGTACCAAATTTTGTACTAGGATTTGGTATATCGTCTACGTTTTCTGTCACTTCGTATGTTGCTGGTTTTGGAGTTGTGGTATTTTTATTATCTTTAATAGAATCTTCAGTATCTTTACGTGATTCCACGTCGTCGTATGAATAATCGTAATCATCGTCGTCATATAGGCTATCGTTTGGTAAATCTTCTTTATCTATTCGATAGGATAGTATATGACTGCTGAATATAACCTGAAAAAGAAATATAAATTTAAACAAAGATAATCAAATTAAAATATAACTTACTAATATTATAAATGCGAATTTTTGAATGGATGGATGTTTGTTTGAAGGTATCTCGAGAACGGCTGTATGGATCTCGTTGTAATTTAGCATAGAAGTAGAACATAGTCTGGAAGAACATATAGGCTACTAATTATATTTTTTTTAATTGATGCGGACGGACTCACGTGCGACAGTTAGTAGGATTATAAACCACAATACTGCACTGGTTTTAATATATAAAAAATGATAAGTATCTTGGGATAACCAAGTGACGAGTGAAAAGTAGTCGTTGTATCGGAATTTTTATTTTATTAAAATGCTCAAGGTCATTGATGTAATAAGTAATACAGTTAAGATAAAATCATTAACGACTCAATGGATTTTGATGAAATTTGGCATAGATGTAAAACATAGTCTGGAAGAACACATAGGCTACTAATTATGTTTTTTTTTAATTCCGTGCAAACGGACTCGTGGTCGACAGTTAGTATTTTTATAAATCTTTACTATTACATTTCATTTACCTTTCAATTGACACGTCATAGCTTATGAATTAACTTGATTAGTATAGTCCGAAGTTAGGTAAAATCGTGCTCGGCAATAGCCTTCGTACGCCGTGACTCAATGTGACAAGGAATTCTTGCAGGACACGATTCTCGGAAAGACTATAATATGTTAGTATGTTCTTCAATGCTTAAACGAAGATAGTCTTTTGTTTTTAATTCGCATTTCCTTGATGTTTTTAATTGGATAATCGGTCTTCCCCTTTAATATTGCACGTTTTGCATTTATGTACCAAAAGTTTGCGATTACGAACTTTTGTTTAGTCGTCCTAAGTACTATATATTTAACATTACGGTAGTACAATTTAAAACCTACTGTATAGCTATAGAAATAGGTGTTAAAATGTTGTGGTTTTTACCGAAATATGATGAAAAATAACATGTCAAATCCCTACAATTGTGAGGATGATTTTTTTTATTTTTCTTCTTGTTTTATTCTTAGTTTATCTAAATTTTTATCTGTGGTTGAGGTATATTGTGTCTTTCAACAACAACGATTTAAAATGTAATTTCCTTAAAATGACAACGTACTGTAAATAACCACAAGATCTTACCTATAATTACGAAAGTTTGGAAGTATAGGATTTTTGGAATGTAACTCCAGAACGATTCAACGGATTCCGATTAAATTTAGCACGAATGTAGAACATAGTCTCAGTCGACAGCTGCCTCATAAATCTTTATGTTCATTCATTATTTAAACAAGCTACTGTACCGCAACTTTCAATCAATAGTTTCGGTTCCAATATTCTCTTTGAAATGTTACTTTTTCTATACTTATTTAGCTTTGTCATTGTGAGTCACTGGACTTTATAATGACTGTAACTCAACGGAATTTGTTACGCTGTCGTATTTGGTACAGTAATATTTAACTAATTGTTGTTATAACCTAGCACTTTTTCTTTTATTATATTACTAGCTGTCACCCGCGATTACGTCCGCGCGGAGTCAAAACCAAACTTAATGAGTTACCTATGTTGTTTTCCAAAGATCCGTTAACCCATTCCAAAGATACCTTCAAACAAACATCCACCTGCACATTCGCATTTATTATATTAGTAAAATTAACTGTCACCCGCAATTACGTCCGCACAAAACCAAAACGAATTTAATAGCCTTTGTGTTCTTTCATATTATGTTCTACATCTGTGCCAAATTTCATCTAGATTCGTTGAGCAGTTTTTGAGATACAAACATCCTTCCATCCATCCTAGTATAGATGTAATATACTTTCGCATTTATAATATTAATAAAATGTTTTGACATAGAGTTTAGTTATCGTATAATATATATATATATATATATATTATAAAAAACAAGTAAAGGTTAAAGTCAGTTCTTATACTCTATTTTTAAATAAGTTTTTTAAAGAATTTATTTTTTAATAATTTAATTTATTATATTGGTTTAATCCACAACCAGTACCTTTTCATAAGTTATCTTGAACGCTTCGAGATCGTTCTGATTTTTTTTTCTACATAAAGTATTAAGTACTTTTGTTAATCTTACTTTATAAATGCTGCGTCGCTAAACGAACAAAAACGGAAGTCCTTCATACTCTTATGACTTCCGAACCCTTGAAATATAAATTGGATTCGTTTAAAATAAGAATCTGAGATTCGTTAAATTAATCGTCATGAAGAATTTAATTCTTAGTGTAGACATAATTTTAAAAAAAATGACCATAGCTTAATACATGGTGTTTTAATATTTGTTGAAAAATATTCACATTTTTATAACATTCTTTTTAAAAAAAAAATTCAAATACAAAGTTGTAGAGTATTGGGCAGTAAGAACCCACTAATAGGGTTGTACTACTATTTTTTTTTATCTTTTTAAATCTATTTCGTACGCAAATATTTTGTAATACAGTGTAACAATAACATCTATTGTTTATCCATAATTAAGTAAGCAATATTTTTAATTAACTTTAGTTTTCAGCATCATAGTTATAAAGATTAAATCTGTAAGGAAGATAAGAATAACGTTTTATGTTTATTACAAAAAAGCGTATTGGAATATCAAAGTAAATATCTTAGTTTTTGTTGATTTAAAAAAAGTATTAAAAAAACACAATACGCTTTACGCTACCGTGAAATACAAGAGATGACAATATATTTTTGTCCTTGTCTTTTGGCAAAACAAACTATATAGCTATACTAGCTATCTTCCAAGACTCCGTTCGCGCGGAAATAAAAAATAATAATTAGTAGCTAATCTGTTCTTCCGGACTATGTTCTACGTCTATGCCAGAAAGAACCATGCAGCCGTTCTGGACATACCTTCTAACAAACATCCATCCAAACATACGTATTTATAATATTAGTAAAATTGAATTCGCATTTTTAGTAGTCAAAGATACTATGATTATAATGGTTCAAGTTCCAAGAATTTATGTTATTTACTCTTGTAAAGACAGATTTAAACACTAATAAAGTAATCAATTTACAAACACATCTTAATTGTATGTTAAAAGCTTCAGGATTATAAGATTTAATTTAGTAGGGTAATGTCTAGTAATTTGACTTTGTATCACTTTAAAATGTTGTCGTTCTTTTGTTTTTAACACGTTAACTGCCAGAATGATTTTTCGAAAAACGATTTTTTTTTTCAAAACCATTTGAATTGGGCCTTGCAGGTCACGCTGTATCCAACAATTCGATTAAAAAGCCACAGCGAGGTGTTGAATGGAAGTATGGCTTGTCGGACACATAGCCCGACACGGCCTTATTGAAACATTAGCTTGTCGGTAATATTTATAAAATACGAATGCAAAAGCGTGTTCATAAACTTCCTAACAGTTATTATAATTATTAAAATGTGAATAATTTATATATATTATATTTTAATAAAAATTAAAAAATTGATTCAATTATTCTAGAAGACATTATAAAATGTTATTTAACTATTCATTGAAAGCTTGGAAAAAAATAAAAAAAGAACATAGCACGTTACTTACAGCGAAACAAAGTATAATTCTACAATCCATATTGCGAACTAATCCAATCAGTGAGGCAATTAAACCGCCTTTTATCAGCTACTAACACCGACTGAACACTGAGCCAATTGCTTTGGAGTTCCGCAAAAAAACTGCGGGCTTTTTATCGCCAATAAATAAATAGTATTTTCACTATGAACTCGTGTAGGAAACAACGAGGAGAAACAAATGAACCGACGTTTTTATAACATCCTTGATGATTCAGAGTGGGCACCGGATTCGTAGGCGCAAACCTTTGTTATTATTCATTACTTAGGGTTGTTACAGTGAATATCGTTATGCACATATCTGCGAATAAATTCAAAGATATATGTGAAGTTAACCCGTACTGGGACAGTGTGGTAGACTATAGCCTAGTCACCTCTAATTTAGTATAGGATTTGAGTCCCTCAATGGAGATATGTAGTGAGTTGTTGATGTTATAGGGTTGTCAAATTTTAAAAAACATTAACTAAAGTACAGGCGGAAAAAAGATTATTTGCCAGTGGTTTGTCAATTCTTGAGTTTTTGGTGGACGTCAAAAAAAGTCGTCTCTTTATGATATTTAGTGGACTATAGAAAAAACATTTAGTTACTTATTTAACATCAACCACTCTTTTGTGTTTATATAGTTGGCAACCCTATTTAAACTTTAAATGCACTTTGTGTGTCAGAATACTTACATTACTAAGTTTTAGTATTGAGTTAAAATCACTTAAATGGTAATGTGGCCGAATTTTTTTTACTTTACTTTGATGTGAAGTTAAAAATTATTATTCCACTAATTGTTTAGTTAGATCAAGCCCACACCAGTCGTATCCACCTTAATATAATGATATGGTTAAAGGTTTCAGAACATCGCTAATCATAGAAGAAGAATGGGACTAAAAAATTTACATAAACGAAGACATATGTATGTCAATGTACAATGTATAGGTATTAAGGCTATCGGAGGACACGCTAACTACATAATTACGAAACTACATATTACGTACAAACATATTTTTTAGCCGACTTCAAAAAGAAGGAAGTTATCAATTCGTCTGTATGTTTTTATGTTTGTTACCGCGTTACTCCGCTCCTGGTGCTCCGATTTTAAAAAAATGTTTTGATCGAAAGGTTTTGCTTGCAGGCGGGTCCCATTTTTCTCTAAAACTTTACCGTCGTTTTAGACGAACAATATGAGTAAAATTTAATGTGGCTTTATTTTACACAATTCCGTCTTTTATTTTGTGTATATCACATAAATAATCATCCTGTTCATCATCATCATCAGCTCACTATATGTCCCCACCGAGGGGCTCGGAGCCTACCCTAAGTTAAGGGTGATTAGGCCATAGTCAACCACGCTGGCCAAGTGCGGGTTGACTTCACACATATCTTTGAATTTCTTCTGAGATATGTGCAGGTTGCATCACGATATTTTCCTACACCGTAAGAACGTCGGATGAATGTACATATGTAAATTGAAAAACACTTTGGTAGTGGTGGGATTCGAACCCAGGACCTGCAGATTGCAAGTCAAGTGCTTGAACCCTGAGCCACCGACGATTTGTATAAACGTTGAAATTTATTTGTTAGAAGTAAATTGTATTACATTATTGTCACAAAGCTTATTTGTATGTAAAACGACGACGGACAAGTTGGGGCCTTTGAGCCTCTCTCGTGGACAAATGAACGACCCTTTGAGAATTTTGTTAGCAAAAGTTTTCTGTTTGTTATTTTGCTGGTAAATACGGGGCCGGTGTTACGTTTTATTTATTTAAAGTTTTATTTGATATCGTTATTTTAAATACGTAAATCATTTTAGCAGGGTTACATAGATAAAGTGATAAACAAATTATATTTAAACTTTCATGACTTTCTATACAGAAGAGTAACTTGTTTTTAATTCAAACAGAATATAGTTCTTAATAGCTACAAACTTTTAGAAGTTAATTTTATAAACAGATTCAATAGTTATTTTCAAGTTAAAAGTAAACTAAACTTAATTAATTCTTTTCTTTTTATAATATTAAGAAATGGTATCGTTACAATATTTCAGCTTTTAAATTTAAAGGAAATATCGTCTAAACGAATGATCTAGTCCACAAGTCTATCAGTGGAGATAATGAAAGATATACGATGTCCGGCTAATGGGAGAGTAAACTAGTTGCGGTTAAACCTGTAGCACACAAAAGCAAACGCGATTCAAAAGCGTCGCGATCAATTCGAAGCATTATATGTTTGAACTGCATTCTGCATTCTGTTATGTGATTCGGTTACTTCAGGCTTAGCTTTAAATATTAATTATTGAGGTAGGCTTAGAAAAAGATCTACGGATTGTGTGGAAGTTGATATGATTGAGATGGGAGTGACCGCTGAAATAAAGGATAGTACAGTTCGCCTCGCTTTCGCTTCGCTTTCCAGTCTGTGTGTTAAAGGCATTATAACGAAGCAGTGGACTAAGCCTGTCAGTTTCTTCTATATTGAACATGGAAGTTAATTGCTATTATATTGAACTTTCATAAAGGAGGGACTTTCAGCTTATTTGTAGTGCATTTTGAAAAATAAACTCGACTGATATTTTATGGAAGAATATTAATCGAATTAACATCACAAATAAACTGAAAAACCATTTAAATTTTATACTAGTGTTAGCTGAAGGTGGAACTTAAAGAATAATGATGGGGTGACACACTATAAGAGACCGCACCCTCATTTTCGAGACACTCGCAACCAAACACTGAAGCCAGCGGAAGCTCTGCCCGTTTGACTAGCCAAAATAATAAATCATTTTAACTCTAATAAGTTAATGTTATGTTTCAAAATCATTTCATTGTTAATTTAATTCTATCAATTTTGTTAGTTTTGTTATTAAATCAGAGAAGTACTTTAGTAGTGTATAAGAGATTGATTTTTTTTTAATTTTTCCGACTTCTGATTCCTAAGACTAATATAATTGCAAGATTCAATAACTTTTTATTATTCCAGAAAAAAAAAACTTTTCGATAACTTTTTTCTGGATGACAAGGATTAGTAGGTATTTCTACTATTTACTAATTTTACTAATATTATAAATGCGAATGGTTGAGTATAGACTATATTCTGGAAGAACACATAAGCTATTTACTAACTTTTTGTTTTAATCCCGTGCGGACGGAGTCGCGGGTGACGACTTGTATTTTATAAATATTTAAAATAGAATAGAAGATAATCTTTTTTTTTTGCTTTCTCATTTTTATGAAATTGTTTCTATTAATTTCTTGCCGTTGTTTTCTGATTATGGTTCTTAGAAGTAACACAGGAAATACGAAGATAATAAAGACGATATATTTGATTGTTTGTTTGTAGTGAATAGACTTTAAAACTGCTGAACCGATTTGAAAATTCCTTTGAAAAGCAACACAATCATCGGGAGACGTTAAATATATTATTACTACATTTTTATAATTCCGCGCGAACAAAGTCACGGGCGACAGCTAGTATATAAAAATACTACCCTATAACTATGCAAACAGGTCCTATTACAAATTTATCTCGAATTCTCAGAGCCAGAGTAAACTTGTTGTCTGCTACGGCTTTGATGTCAAAGAATCCACTTACAAATTGTAGACTGTCTAGTCTATAACTAAATGGGACTTAGAACTAGACGTTAGAACACTGTCATGTCTAATAATGTAACTGTAAATCTAAACAATGTCTAGCTTAAAAAAAATAATGTGTGAAAATGAAGGTCCAATTGAATACAGATTAAATATAATAAAAAAAATATTAATAATTTACAGTGTCAAAATGATTTAGGATTTAAATAAAAAAAATAATTATATTAAAATTATAACGATATTAATAGTTAGGAGGTTAGTTAGGTGGTCAAGCACATGTATTGCAATCTGCAGGTCCTGGGTTCGATGTACCTATGTGTTTTTCGATTTCCGATTTACATATGTACATTTATCCGACGTTCTTACGGTGAAGGAAAACATCGTGATGCAACCTGCACATATATAAGAAGATATCAAAGATATGTGTGAAGACAAACAACCCGCCTTTGGCGTGGTTGACTATGGCCTAGACACCCTTAACTTAGGGTAGGCTCCGAGCCCCTCAGTGGGGACGATTATTGAGCTGATGATGAATAGTTAGGAGAACTGGCCGTCGATAATAGTTAGTGATCGAAAAAAAAGAAAAAACTTAGATGATAAGACTTTAACAATCGTTAAAATTTAGGAAATGTATTTTTGTGCTGAAATAATCTATTAAAATTATATTATACTAAAAGAGAAAGCTACAACTCTTAGTTAAAGCATATTAGATAATAATAAATCCAAATTAAGGTGACATCAATTTCCTCAGTTCAACAGAAATATAACCTCCAAATGGTAACCATGGTAACGGATACGGCGCGCGCAACCAGTCTCCCCGAAACTTTGGAAGGGTCCAGTCGCGTTTTGTGGTGAAGTAAACAAAAAAACTGTAAACACTACGTTAATGTATATAATTATTGACAATCTGATTTAATTATTAAAGTGAAATAGTATTAATAGTGTTGGAATTATACCCACATTTAGTTTACGGATTTGTTACTTGGAGTTAAGTGAATTATTTCGTCGTGTTATGGTAGTAGCAGGTGCAAGGAATTCTCGATGGCCGAGAAGGTTAGTTGCGGAGCCGTAAGTAGTACATTTAAAAATATATTAAAGTTTAGAACGAAATAATATTTCAATCACAACATTTACTTGTAGCATTTTACGACTTTAAAAGGTTTAAATTTTGACAATATTAGCTTTATTTTTTTAATTTTATTTAGTTACCAATATCCATGATAACATAACAAAAGTCCTAATAAATTAAAAGAAAAAGTTTTCGTACATTTTGTTTACTATAATATTTCTATATTGTAACTAAGCAAGGTCGGTAATTATTAATTAATAATCTTCATCATCATCATCAGCCTATATTCGTCCACTGCTGGACATAGGCCTCTCCCATGGCACGCCACTGAGTACGATCCCCGGCTACTTACTAACATTATAAATGCAAATGTTTGGATGAATGGATGTTTGAAGGTATCTCCAGAAAGGCTGAAAGGATCTCGCTGTAATTTGGCACAGATGTAGAACATAGTCTGGAAGAACATGTAAGCTACTTATTAAGTTTTTTTTTTAATTCCGCGAGA